TTTCCTCTGAATCAATCCCTTCAAAATACGATTTAATATTCCATGGAGGCCAACTCAAATTTAGCTTAGTACAGCAAGCAAATGTTCACATGGAGTATCCTGAAGCACTGCCTGCCATAAATAAGGTACTGTGACCTTAATTAAGAAAGAGATATCTCCGTTTTCTGCATTAGATATTATTACAGAGAAAGAGGAAAAGATCTTGTATTGGACAGTAAAAATCTAGCCATAGCTGTCAAAACAGGATCTGACGTGTACCAAATAGTTCAATACATTTGGATTCATCTTTAGTGCCAAGTTGCCATTTTTATTGCTACCTTCTTCTACAATGTAAAAACACGAGTCATTAATTGGAAAAGAAACATCTCCCCATCACAACACTAGAATGAAGACATATGACTACAGTGTGGGGGGAGTCAACCCTCCATTTGGACAGCAAAGGATACTAGTATAACGGGCCAGGATAACTGGGAAATCCGGCTTGAACTCTTTGGAAAATCTGACTTATCTTACTTATCGTGATCCACCCATTATGAATGAATATGTGATCTTTCAGGTGGGTCTTCTTCCTTTTATCTCTCATTTGGGTCACAATTTAGACAGAAGAATCAGCCATGCTCAGAAAGACCAGCAGCTGGCACATTTTTCAGAAATGCTAATAAAATACCATGTTGTTCTGACTACCTCAGTGTAACACTGGTGAGAAGAGACTTTCAGCTGGGAGGGCAGCATACATTTTTTTTCTGCGTGTTTCAGCATCAGTGCCATCAGTTACGACTTTATGAATGCAAATCACCAACCTCCTCTTCCATCAAATAGCTACTTTGTGATTAGCAGGATTACTCTAATTAATGCCAATACAGATCAGGATCACTTCCAAGAGCACCAAATACAGATATTTGCTGCTGCTGCTAGTAACACCAGCAGTCTCTAAATTAGCACTCACAAACCTACATGCTGCAACTGCAAGCCAGATGTGATGTAACCAGTTTTAAACTACAAAATGTCTCCCGATTTCTCAAGTAGCTTGGGATGCTATTGACACGGGCTTGCATCTGAATGAATCAAACTGTCATTGCAAGGAGCTAAGAAGAGAAGCCTTTACTGCACTGCAATTGCTCTGTATGCACAGAAGATAATTGGCCATGGGGGACAAGGTCAGATGGCTCTGAATGGAAAGCTATGTCAAGACCTAAACACCAGAAGCAAGAGATTTGAGTGAGATACATTGGAAAGATATGAAAGGCAAGTGGATTTGCTGTGCTTCTGCTTTGATCAGATCATTTTGGTGTCAGCCACTGGTACACACAAAGACCCATAAAGTTGTTTTTTTTTTAACTCTGATGCCAAGAATCAAGGTTTCAAATTGTAAGCAGCAACACAAGATGTTTAAGATTAAATAGGATGTCTTCTGGCCAGCCTGTTGTCACAGGCTTATGGTCTAAGACTTTACAGGAATGTATGTGCCGTGCCTGACAAAATAGCATGATTTGACTGAAGCTGCACTAATCATACAAACTAATCTTCTCCTCCTGTTATCATCACCCAGATCCATGGAGGTGCCACTGATGTAACTGAAGACTTTCCTGAGAGTCACAAGGGATGGAAAGCAGCAAATAAAGATTGCCTTACGTGGAAATAAAATTCAGCCCCAGATAATTACTGTGTGGAAACTGGAAAGTTTACAGGCTCCCTGGTAAGTGTTTCCCAGAAAGTCAAGAATAAGGCAGGCTTTTCAGAGCTTTCTGCCAGCAACCATCACCTTGGCAAAATATACTTACTAAGGACTTACTAAGGACTCCAAAAAAATGGGAATGGCTGGGAAGCTATCAAAGGCTATTCACCAGCTTCACCACTAAGTCAACCACCCAAACAAATCCTCAGCTCACTATTTAAAGGACTTAAAGTCATTAAAGTCTGTAAAGACAGACTCTTTTCTGAACAGGACTACTGGAATAGCACTGTGGGCTTCCATGTTGTGTGTATGTGCTCCAGATCCAATGTGCTCCATCTACAATCATACTTGCTTTCTAATTCCCAGCTTTGTGGTTGAAGCTGTAGGGCTCTTCAGTTTGTGGTTTTTGGGTTTTTTTAATGTAGAAGCTCTACAGAATCTATCAGAACCTTATTGTCAATTATACAACCTATTCTTCAGTGAGGTAGACATAAATACCAGATTAGATGGTAGTAAACAGTTATTTCATTCCTGCCTCAAAAGAAACAGACTCCAGCCCATTCTTTTACAGCTGCGTTGATTTTATAAGGCTTAACAGCAGTACATAAAGTCATAAAGCTTATTTGTCACTAAACTGATTTGGTTCTATATACACAAGGAATAGACCTGCTAAGTCGGAAGGTATCACTCCTATAGGCAGTTTTCAGGTTACAGCTGCATTTTAAACATAAAGGCTTTAAATTTTACAACGTAATTTTAATCCTATGAACAGATATGAAAGACTTGATGGAAACAAGTTTATTCTTTCTGATAATAGAAATGTCCATTCTCATGCTGATATAGGTGGAAACATAAAATATTCCCTCCCAATGTGCATTTCAGTTTTATTATGAGCCAAATTATTTTCTTCTATTGTGAAATATTAAGAGTTGGCAGCAATTTTCTAGTGTGCACAGGTAGGGTTGATACAGCAGCTGTTAAGTCATTTGGATATTGGCAGCTCCTATGACATACCTCTGCTGTTCAACATTAACTTGTTTTTCAATGCCAATGGCTATGTGCAAAATCAGTTCTCAGATTGATGACCACTGCTAGCAGAAGTTGAGATGATAACATTTAAAGGACTAAATAAATTTGCCTTGCTGTTAATTACAACATTCAATGGCTTCTAGTGGGTGAAAAGATACTCTTTATTCCCACCAGAGCTTTCACATGGCTGAGCCAGGCATAAAGAATCTGATTAGCTCTTCTTGTACCATTGTTAACTTTTTGGTAAAAATGCCCCCCTGTCCTCACTCTCAGAATATGGAACTATGATGAGGTCACAAAACCACATATATAGTATAGTATTTCTTACACTATTTGTTGTCACTAGACAAACATTGTGTCAACTTCAGAGAGTTCCCTGTCCTCAAGAGGACAGTTTGCCAATAAAAGGCTAAATGCTGGCAGCATTCCCTTTCGCTCCCCTAAGTTGTGGGTGACCTCTCCTGCACATGAGATGGCTCTTCACTCATATAGGAGGGTGGAATTCAGCTTAGTGTAGTCACCACTGCTTATGTTGTGTGTGAGCACACCAATAAGAATATGATTTAAAGGAACCCCTTTAGACCCCTATAATCCATCCTTTCTCTTCTCTGGATATATATGTGGCTTTGTCTGTGCTGTAGTTGCCAAAAAATAGTCTCTCTGCTGGCATTCACCTTGTCCTCTTTGTCCCATGTTGGATTGATGCTGACACTGTGACAGCTGGAGGGCCTGCCTGAACTGGGAGTGAGCAGTAATGCTCTCTATCTAGAGAATGCAGAGTACTGGCTGGTTATCTGTATAGCTCAGTTATCTGTATAGCTCCGTTAACTTGCAAGCAATCGATAGAATCAGCATTTCAGTATTTTTGTATGATGTGAATGCCAGATCCAGGCAAGAAACAAAGGCTTGAGGGAGAAGAGGGATTTGCCGTCTGATGACTTCAAGAAGAAGCTGGAGGTCTGCCTGCTACTTAAATGAGTCTTCATGAGGAGATCAGAAATGGTATAACCCAGGAAACTCAAACAAGAAATCAAATTAGCTCCTTTCAGAGCAAAGGAAAAACTCCCACCAGCAAAGCTGCAACTCAAAGGAAAGAGATCATCAAACTACAGGAAATGGGCCAAATCCTGCCTCAGTCACACCCACATTAACCTAGTAGTATCCCCACAATGACAAATTCCCTTTGTTGTTACAGACTCCACAACTCCAGAACAATTTTCCTCGGTTTATGAAGAGATAACGCTGAAGTTGCAGGTCCAGCTGGCTTCCTCAACAGCTTGTGTTCCCATTCACAGAAATACCTGAATTCAACCTAGATACCAGAATGGAAATCTAAAGAGAACAGTCCTCTTGTACAGAACTTCTCTGTACAAGAACAGACTTGTACAGAACTTCTCTGTACAAGATACAAGAAAGAAGGCAAAAAACTCTCATAGTATTTGGGTATTTCCACTTTTGTATTTGGAGGAGTCAGTAGGGACACAGGTAATGAAAGAAAGAATGTAGTCCCTGAGTGCATAGAGGGGAGGCAAGACAAGGAATAAGTTAACCAAAATTCATGGAACCCCAAGGAAGTTGAGTTGCAAGTTTTGCAGAGAACACTTTTTTTTTTTTTTCCTCATTCCTAGCAAAATTCTGAATCTCCAGTAAGCTCACTGCTCCTCCAGCTAGAGACACAACATCCTTCCCCAAGACCAAACTGGAACTATGACAATTTACGCTAAGTGTCTAACAGGTAGTATGTGGTGTGTCTTATGGAAGATTTAGAAGGGTCTTACCCCAAGGATATCTGGGGAAGAAGGGAGTGGATTCAAATGGGAATTAAATAACATAGCAATCCTGTCTCAATAAATAGCAAGAAACCAAGGGAGACAGCAGCTAGCAGGGCAGCATTCAGCTTCACTGCAGAAAAAGGACTGAAGAATCATGAATCAAAGGCAGCAAGTAAACAAAAGAGGGGAAAAAAGGGGAAAGAAAAAGAAAATCACTGGCCTGGGTTACAGTGAGGGAGGGAATCTCAAGTGCAACACCACACACTTGTGCTATGAAGGGGAAAGCCGTGGTGGAGCCTGTGCATCTGTGCATGGATGGGGAGGAACAGAGTAAGGGGTATATGCTTGTGTCCACCAGGTAAGTGACAAACATAGTGGGCTGTTATGGGGTGGGCAGCCTTGAAAAGAGCGTGGGAGAGCAGGGATAGGGGAGGGGAAGAGGTGGAAGGGACAGACGGCGCATTATTATGTTGCTCAGCGGGGGCAGGGGAAGGAGAAAAGGCAGAAGGGAAGGAAGTTCTTACCACATTTGGAAAGTCTGCCAGTCATCAACTCCATACAGTTAGTGGTGTCTGGATCATAGAACGGAAAGAGGAGGGAGGGAGGGAAAAACATAAAAAAAGGTTTCCATACCTCTGTGCATAAAGTAGTAACTTAGCACATTATTACCTGAAGCAGGAAACATATATACACATCTTGGTCTTTACACAACCCAGGCCAAATTCTGCCACCCACTGCATGCCAGTGCAAACCTGGCCCTGTGACTGAGGGAGGATGCTGATTCAGGCCTGCTGCTTCCACTCACCTCTTCATCATAGCTACAGGTATTTATGAGATGTGGGAAATATTCTGCCACCACATTAGCAAACTAAAAGCCTTGAATACAGTGTTTCAGCCAGCCAGCTTTGCAAGTTAGCCTGCAACAGCCAGAAAATGCCCAGCCAGCTGATCCACGTACGTCAAAAACCTGGAGAGAGGGAGGAAATAGCTGTGCTATTGGACATGGAATGAGAAGGCTACTTACACAGCTCAAAAACAGACCTCAAAGGATAATGTCCAAGTCCTCAACATAAGTCTGCCTTTCTCATTCACGTGTAATCTCTCACTCCTCTTGCTTTCAATGTCACTATTCATAGGCAACAGAATTTCTTCTAGAAAGGGTGGCAGAATCTGGCATAAGACATTACTTCCCACTTTGTGTATAGCTCCCATTGCCACAGCCTTTGAGTGCTTCATATTCGGGTTGGATAAGAGGAAGAAGCTTTACATGTCAGCTTTAAAGCAGAAAGGACCAGCTCTGTGGAAACTGCTGGCAAGCCAGATCTGCTGCTGCCATCCGGGATTCCCTTGCATTTAGGATCTAAATCCATGAGCTGGGCAATGTGGAGCACCACAGTCTCAGATCTCCCCTTCCCTGCCCTCTTGATGAATGCTTGGGTGTTCAAGAAATAGGCTTGGAAACAGACACACATATGCTGAAAATCCCTAACTGCTAGGGAGCTCTAACTGCTCCCTATCTGGTGAAAAGTCTGCAGGAGAGAAAGAAAGATAATTTCTTGGCATTCCTCCCCTTAAATACCAAGAAAAGTAATTTCAAAACAGGGGGAAGGGGTGCTGGATATGCTTGGGTAAGCTGAACCCATGCTAGAAGTGCATGGATATTGTATGGTTTCTGATGCAGCCAGGCCGGTGCTGCATAGACCACCTGGGAAAGCATGGAGCAGAGAGGGCAGGCGCTTGGGGCAGTGACACTGGCCAAAGCATCTAAGCAGCGGTTCTATGTCCTCCATCCCCAGGGTCAGATGCAGGCTGGCACAGGTCAATGGGAGATGATACCCATGGAAGGTCTCTCAGAAAGGCACAAGACTGAGAGAAAGGGGAAAACGGAAGGAGGTGAAGGACAAGAGAGGATTCAAGAACTGAACAAGGTATCAGAGGTGTCACGAGGGGCCAGGAGTTTACCTGCCTTTGAAATTCTTTGGCTTGTCTGACTGAGCTAAGGCAAATTCTCCTGAAATTTCTCCCTGACGATGCCTAACAGGTTTAAGAAGTGCCTACAGCTGCTGATTGAGCCAATGACCAGAAGTTACAGTCACAGTCACGTTTTTTTTCTTTCATAACTTGGGAGAAGTTTGTTGTCTCATGCCTTTCAGTGGTTCCTGTTCAGCCCTCTCTTAGTCAAATATACCTTGTTGCAATGCAGTGGTAATTCAGCTCTATGGCGGTAGAGCTCAGAGCTTCACCCACTTGTTAGCAGAACTTATGCTTTGAAACAAGCACATAAGAGCAAGGAAATACTCAAATATGACTGAAAGACTGTTTCTGATTCCACCTGTAACATCTGGAATGTTCCCCTCAAGTGTATCCAGACTGACTGGCCACACAGAAACCAGCTGTCTGGAAATGAAAAGGAGTATTTGGATTAATGTTGGAGTAGGTAAACATTGGGGCTGGTTTACTAAGATTCTCCTGAAATTGCTATTTCTGTTTCCTTGTTAATTTCAACAAATTAAAAATAACCATGTCTCCCTAAGTTAATATTTCAGAATATTGCATTATTTTCTAAGTCACTTGCAGTCAGCATAGCTCTTTTTAGTATTTCATTTAAAGCTAATTGTGTAACAGGTCTATATACATTAATCACGTGATTAGAACACAAACTGACATGTCTACAACAGGAAAAAAGGTTTGTAGCAGGCCTTTTGACAGCGTAATGTCTTGGTCTCTATACCCCATTTTGTTTCTACAAACCTGAATTTGCAGGTTCTAGAATTGGTTTTGATGGATAAGGAAAAACACAAACGCTTTTTTGAAATACAAGACCGTGGAAAAATATCAAAGGAACACTAATAAAACCTCTAATTCATATTTCCTAAAACTTCTATTTTCCTAAAAATGCACAGCTATAAATTGCATTCTCTGTATTGCCATGGCCAGTCCCAGGACCTGCACAGGAATTTATTTTTAATGTCTTTCCAAGACATGATCAGGTTGTTTTTCCCCAATTCCTAACAGATAGCAATCGTAAGCACACCAGAAACAGTAGCTCATACCGCATCTCTTGAATGACTAACAAGAGTTAATAAGCCTTTAGCTTCTCTGTTATAATAATTACTTTAATGCTTCTTTCATTTCCATCATATTGTAACATCTGCTTTCGTAAATATATGATAAAATATTTCATCATTTTGAAATAGAATTTTCATTTTAATTAGAAAGCCTTAGATTCTTGGCAGTCAGCTTCTGCTCATGGATAATAATCCATAACTCAGTGACTGTGGGATCCAGGTGTTATGTGAGGTGAACAAAGCCAGGGTCCAAAGGCCTTCAGCTGTCTAAGAAGCGCTGATGGGTCATGTAACTGCATTTTTAATATGTGCTGTTTAATTTTTTAATTTAAGCATAGTGGCAAAGTCAGATCTCAATCCTGCTGATGATAAAGGAATTCCTTACTTCCCAGAGACTGCTGGCAGTCACTCGCGCTTTGGATTTGACCAAGACTTTTTCATAAATGACACCCAGTTCAGTTCATTAGCAGACGGAAAATGCTTTGATTAAAATAAGACCTTCCTTCCAAAGGCCAAACAAACTATGAATCCATTAAAAAATGCCAATGTTTGGCTGAATTTTCTTTCCTGTTATTCTTTTTTCTTTAATTTCTGTGTTTCTATCCTACATAAATTTCACAATCAAGTTGCTGGTTTGTGATGCTTCTGATATCTCTGAGACTGAGACTTGTCCCAGCCCAGGCAAGCTCACCCAAACAGCTGGCTCCTCTGAGATCTCCAAATCCAGGGCTAGATCCCAGAAAGCACTAAGCATCTCCTGCCAGATGCTCATAGTCCCTAATAAACATTTCCATTAAGGGAGATGATGTCAAGGGAGCCACCAGTTCCTCTGGTCCAAGGCAGTTACCACTTAGATTAGAATTCCCCAGCGTTTGGGTGCTTATTTGAATTGCACTGTTATTCTTTCAAAACTCTGAAGACCTTGGACTTTTTCTACATGTTTCATTTCAGAACTACTCAGTTAATTTTAATGAGGTCTGTTCAGTAATAATACTAAAAATAATACTAAAAATACTAAAAACGCCAATCCAACCAGGCATACACACCATCCTTTGTAGGTGGGAACCATGACAGCAAGATGAAGTGATTGCCCCAGGCACTACAAGAGTGGTAAGATGTAAAGTGTTGCTCAAAAATGCAGGAAACATGATAAACCTGGGACCTGGAGGAGCCCAGATAAAACTGACTTGCAGTCCAATTCCAAACTGGCATTTGCACAGTTGTTTTGAGTCTGCAGCTGGAAGTTTAACTGGCAAGGCACTTTATTTGCTCCTTACTTCCTTTTCTATCTGGATGATAAAATCCTTCACCCATTTCAAATCTGTAAGCTTCTTACTAATTTTTTGTAGCAAATTAGCCAACCTACAGCTCTTGTGAGCCATAAAGATGAACGGCCAGAATCCACACATCAATACTCTAGCAAAGTTTTTTGAACCACACGAACACGTTTTGCTTTTTGAGATGAACACCAGCACAATCAGAGAGCTTGGGTGCATATACAGAAGACACACACTATGAGCAAGAATTTGCACTGCCCTATTCTGAAGCTGGATATGGTCTCTAAACACTTGTTTATGCTGATGAAAGGCATTTCCAGCAGTAACACTGAGATGCTCTGAACTTTGAGATGCCAGTGGTTAAAATCTGACACAAAGCCCATAAATATAATAAAGAAACAGAAAACCTATTACTAAGAAGTCAGAAAGGGTAGTCCAGTGTTGCTGATTTCCCAGAACATGGGAAAATATGAGAATATGCAGCACTTAAAAAAAAACACCCAAAGAAGCAAGAAAATGTTAGGGAAATAAAAACTGATACCCTGTGAATGATCACAGATGGCTTTTGCATGTCCCTATCCACCAGCTGTTTCTATTACTCTTTTGTGCAAAGGCATTGGAGGAAAACAGATTATGATTTAATGGAAAGAGTATTGGGCTAAAACAAAGGCACAAATGTGAGATATTTCATTCCATGGAGAGAGACCCTTTTATCCTATCAAAGGCAGTCCTGACCAGGGATGACCTAAGTAGAGATTCTGAGTATGAGGCTCAGTATGGATGGAGCCATACATGGACAAGACACAAGGCCAGCTCCTCTCATAGACAGCAATACTCACTCTTGATCCAAAAAAGACTGTCAAAACCGGATGGCCAAAACCATCCAGTGCTGTGTCTCCACCAGCAGCCACGCATAGATATGCAGGAGTGTAGCAGCAGGCCAGGCATATAGAACACTTCCTCCTAACACTACCTCACTCTCTCACCACTTTCAGGTCAGAGATTTCCTAAGCCTGCTGTGATTTCTCTGTTTAGCAAGCCTCATGAAGATTTCTCTTCCAGGGAGTTGCCCAGCCTCCCTGTGAGGAAAAAGTACTCAGCAGAAGATGAGCATCTGCAAACTCCTCACATTCATTACCTCCTTCAGCAAGAAGTTCCACAGGGTCTTACATTATGTGAAGACACACCTTCTAATATTTTTTTGGTACATGGCTTCCACTAGTTTTGTATGACGGCCTCTAGTTGTGAAAAAATGAACAATCAATCCCTAGCTACTTGTTCTATACCAGTTGTGAGACTGTAGACCTGGTATTGTCTCAGCAATTATACCACAGAGGATGTAACGTCCTGAAACATTAAGGTAGGAGGCTGATATGTTGCTCTAAATTTGGCCAACTGGATAGTGGATTTTAGAAGTATTACATTAGCTTTTGGGATAGATTTCATTTGTTTACACACTTATTCAGGTAAGGGAGGGAAGCTATTTTCCTGCTTCAGAGTATGCCAGAAGAAATAAGCATAGCCAGTCTTAGGAAGGAAAAGTGGAAGTGAACAGAGGGATATCCAAGGGGAGGGGAAATTATAAGGTGCTCAAGTGTGACACAGAAACACATCTGCCTAAATCAGGTATGTATCAGGCTCATACACACACACACACACAGATGCATGGGCAACACGACATCTACAAACACTGTTGTGAGCTGGAGGAAAGGAGAAAGAGGAAAGTGCGTTCTGAAACCCAGGCAAGCCGGCTTAGTGGGCTGGCATGCTGCATAAGAGCAAAGAGGGGCAGGAGAGAGAATGACTGTCAGTGCCATATGCTTATTAGGTCTTGCTGTTCTGCTTTATACCGTGTTCATTGCATCTTCCCCTTCTGTGGGTCTCACTTTACATTCATGCACCTTTCACAAATGGTTTTCATCATCCCACCTGTAATGGCACCTGAACTAAAAGGCAGGGGAGACAACCGCACAGAGGATATGTCTGTGCACAATGAGCTAGGAAAATCTCCAGTGTTGGACCAGTATTGCTGGTCAGAGCCAGCAGTACCCTCAGAGCCACGGAGGAAGAGATTCAAAGTGAACTGTGAGCTCGTACTGTTGCAGCAGTGGACTGCCTACAGAGTATCCTCAAACTATGAACCTGCATAGGAGTCCAACTACCACAACTCCTGTGAGGTGTTCAGGGCTGGCAATATGGGAGAAGAAGAGAAACATAGAAGAATTTGCCTTGTTTCTAGTAAGAAATGCTGAGTAATTCCATGGCAATTTTTAGGAAGCCCTTGCACACATCTTCCCAACCACAGTCACCCAGCTAAGCAACAGTGCTGAGTGTAAACTTCTGCGGTCCCTTTATCTCTTTATTTCCTCTTCCTCTCTCACTGACTGGGGGTGTCAGCCACAGGGCCTCTCAACTTTGACTTTTTTCTACTTCTCTTTTCCTTGCGCTCTGCTCTAACCTAAACTTTTCAGGTTGAATGACTTCTCTCTTTTTCAAGAAACTTGGATATTCCTGATGAGATCAGGTGGTGTGATACAGGATAGCTTGGCACCCCATCTCTTGTGAGCTCTCTTGCCTGGATAACTCCCTGGCCAAGGGAACTCTCATTTTTAAGTTTCAAGAGACCATTCATTTTGGCTTTGCTCCATGCAGAGTTCTCTGTTCCACTCTGGCTTTAAAGATCAACCTGGGTTTTCCCTCCTAGAATGCTCTTGTGTAGCTTTAGGCAGTAGAAAGAGATTCTGTGTCTGTAATATGCTTTCTCCATTCCAGAACCAGAGCAAAACTGTAAATCAGATACATTTCTCACAGCACAGTTTGCCCAAAACATCTCTCTGAGCCTTAGTCAGATGAGTGGCTTTTATTCCAGCTATAATTTTACTTTCTTAGGGAGATATCCTGCTTCACATGCAAGTGTGCAACAGGGTCCAAGTCCTTCTAGAGAGCCTAAGTAGCTAGCATATATTGGGGTGAAGAATTTAAAAGATATCACCATGTCATTTACTTTTTTAACATTCTTTTCCTCACCAAAAAGTAAGGGTACACTTCTTTTCCTAAGAAACAAGGAATGCTTGAACATTGTTCATGCAGCAGAGATAATATGAGTTAGACTCAAAGGATGCTTTTCTATTTAACTCCTCTCACTCCTACTTGGCCCCAGCATTTCCCCAGAGGAAGGGGTGGCAGAAAATTCTGGCTGCTTCCTTGAGTTTGATTTCATTTCAAAAGTCCAGACAGCAAAAACGTGAATCAACCCCAGTTCTAGTATCCTCACCTTTCCTGTTTCCTAACAGAATAACTCATGTGCTGGGCACCCTTGCAATCCAGTGTGCAGAAGGTCAGGAAGTACTGGAGGGCAAAAGTAAAGTGGAAAATAATATTTCTTGAACTAAGCATACTTCTCTGCCATGTAGTGAGCATACGCTCTTCTAGATGGAGGTATTTTATCTTCAGCTGTTAAAGCCACACTGTTAGACCAGAAGGACTAACCCATATGTGCAATGAGCCAAGGATATCTGGGATTTAACTGCAGGATGAAACGCCGAATTCATTCCTCCACTTTTGTCTTGGCTGGTTCACACAAAGGTCAAGCATAGAATTTGGTTCTTATGTATAATATTAAGTTACTACCTTTTCATCATCATACAATGGGAAAATTCTTCCCGCTCCTCCTGCCTCTTTGTCTTCTTCCTGCAGTCTCTGCTTTCTGCCTTGCTCCTATTTATTCCCCGTATCTGTACATTCTTTCTGGTTCTCCCCATTTTTCCTTCCTTGAAGCACTCTCAATAGCTAAGCTCCCTTAATTTTTCAATTTTCACCTTCATTCTTTGTTCTGTCCTTTAAGGAGTTAAGACTGATATCTTTTTTTCAGTGTGTGTCATCACTAGTGTTCAGAGCGAACATTTGCTACACAATGGTGGGATAAGGCCAGTTTCTGTATTACCAGTTCAGGCTGCCTGCAGATTCAGATTGATGTCATTGCATGGGGTCACACACATGAGGCTTTCTTTACCACCATGAGGAACTGAAATTTACTTTAAAAATAGATAAAATATAGCTTCTGCAGAACCTTAGTATATGATTTGTGCTGCCACAATATTGGGCCAAGAATTTGGCCACGCTACTGGAAACAATTAGCCACCTTCTGACCATCTGAAAATGCTGCTGTTAATTAATAGCTAAGTTAAAAGTAGCTCTCAACTTTGCTCTGGGACCCTCTGAAGTTGGATGTTTCTAAAGCATGTCTTAAGGGTTCGAAAATCAGGTATCTTCTAGAGTGTGTCCCTGTTCTGGGAGATTTTGGAACCGGAGAAAATCTGGAAGATCTACTGATGATGGAGCTTTTGATGGAGAAGTGGGCAAATGGCTCTTTGGGAGGGAGGAGGGCAGAAGCTGTTCAACTGGGGAATGCGCTGGGAGCACTGAAGTGGGAATGAGAGAGGGAGGAGTAGGGTGGGTGTGGGGAGCTACTGCTCTGTCTGAACGGAGCTCATTTCTTGCTGTAATCAGAGGGACGGCCTCCCTCAGCCTCCTGGTACCGAGAGGCACTTCACCTTCCTGTCCCTGCTGAAGCAAGGTGCTCAACAGTAGAAACTACTTACCTGATAACTGCTGCACTGAAGGCTGGTCATGTGTGCTTAACAACTGTGCCTGAATGGTTTCTACTACCCTCTTAAAACGACGGCTTGGACCTGTGAGGAGAAAAGAGGCACAAATGGCTCTGAGAGGGGCAGGAGATGAATCCTCATACGACTCAGGCTGGAGGGAAAGAATCACAAGCATCTTCCCTTCAGTCTTGTCCGCAATAAGACTTGTAGCAACAGTGAATCTGTCCTTCAGCCAAAGGCACGGCTTTGGGGAACTATTATGCAGTCCCCAAGATAATAAGGACTGTGGTGTGCTGGAATTAACAGGAAGCAGGATGGCTTCTGGGCTCATTTTGTAAAGACAGAAAAGGTGTGTGGGGATGTTTGTTTGTTTGTTTCAACCCCTGTGAGGGGCATGTCCCATCCAGAAGAAAAGTGCGATTGCATGTTTTCTGTCAGAAGGAAGAAATCAGTGGCCTCACAGTACCCAGATGAAACACAGACCTTTGAGTGAAACAGGAGACAGTACAGGGAGATACTTCAAATCTGATGCACAAAGCAGCCATTTTAGCACTAATCATGGTGGTGGGAACTTCACCTCTTTGGGAGGTGAAGCATTCCCATCACTACCAATACCATTTTTGTTCCCGATGTCCTCTTTGCCCCATCTGAATTTTCCCCTGAGGTCAAGATAGTTATATTCTTTCCCCTGGTAGAGCTCTCTTTGAAGGCCTCTATATCAGCAAGGACAAAGCCAGCTTGCATTCATTTTACAGCTTTACCATGGTTACCTGATAAGAGTGTGAAAGTGACAGAATAGATCCCGTTCTCCTTCTGTGCCTCTCCCCCTTCTGTGTATGTTATGTCCACTTGGAACTTCACTGGCTTCTGGAAGACAGCAGGACCTCCTGTGGACTTATATTCTGCACGGAAACTTGTCTGTGAGATGACACTGTGACTGAGGCTTGGAATCTGAAACAGGTCAGCAGAAGGAAATGGTAGAACCAGAGCAGAAAGGGAACCTAAGCGCAAAATTTGATTTAGAACAACACACATTTCCAGAGTGGATAAGATTTGCCAGGTTTGCTTCTGGACTTGACTTTGTAACGTACAGAGTGTTCTTGTGAAATCAATAGGAGTAATAGGTTGCTTGATACTGCAGAAGAATGCACTGTTCCTTACAGGAATGACCTAAATTTAAAGGTTGAATATTGGTGGAATACCCAGCATGCTTATAAATGTACACAGGTTGTACAATTTCATAGGCTCCGTCTTTCTTTTCCTACTCAGGTAATAGTTTTAAGAAATGCCTTTTGCTGAGTGATGGGGCAGAAAAGGCAGTGGGATATAAGACTGGATTCAAAAAACCACCTGAGTAACCTGCTCTGATCTCGTAGCTGATTCTGTTTTGAGCAGGAGACCTCCTGAAGCCCTTTTCAACCTCAATTGTTTGGTGATTCTATAATATCAGACAGATATCAGGACATGGAGCAGACATTTATACAAGTACTTAGGATATCCACAGGGAAAGTATGCCTGCAAATAACTTACCCAAACAACAACTTCTAGCAATACATAAAAGAACTTTGAGAAGCTTTCTGATATCATCCAATATCTGTATCCTCGGACCCATGTTAGAATTTCCTAACTGCCTAATTTTCAAGCAGTCACCATTCACAGTTCCTGCCAAAATTTAACATACTCACATTCTAGTTATTGCTTCATAAAGGACCAGCTTTTAAAAAAACCCACCCAAATCAACTGGAAATCTGCCCTCTAATTTAGGAGGAAAAATAAAGATAAGTTCTTGAAGAAGCTGACTTAAGGACTTACTTAGCAGGCTGCGACAATGCATTTAAGTTTGAAGTTGGCTACAAGAAAGGATCAAAGGGCTTGCACACAAATCACGACACCCCACTTCAACCCACACATGTGGGGTATGCACAGGAGCACTGATATAGACAGCAGTGCACAACACGCCACAATATAAACCCACAAGCACAGCTAAATGCAGGAAACTGATATACTAACATGGTGCCTCAAACCAATCTGAGATGGATACCAGTGTCTGATGCATGCTGCTATACCGCACTTGCCCCTCGTATGCCAGCACAGCTAAAAGATTGGTTTTTTGGAAGAAATTCATTGCAACATCATAGAGTCTAAAAAAGAGTGCAGTATTTTGTGGAAAATAGTATCAATTCAATAAACAATATAAAAAATAAAGTCTCCCTCTCTTAGTTCTATTGAAAAAAGTCTAATTATGTTGTCAACTACCTTGAATTGAAAAATCTCTCAAATTAACTTTACTGTGCTGACTTTTTCTTCATTGGTACTTCTGGATAGTGAGAATAAGGGCATCCTATAGGAAAAATAGACAGTTTCCCTCTGCTTTCCTAGAGTGTAAATGGACTGCATCTGCAACAACTGATACTGTGGTCACCAGAGGAAATGACTCTTCTTTCTGCCATATGGCATTAAAGAGGAGATTTAAAGTAACAAATGCAGGACTTTTGTCTCACTAAAGTTGTGGAAGGTATACTCAGCAGAGGGAGACCTAATCTGATGCCCAGGGGTGACTGTAAGGTTACTTCAACTGTAACAGAGTTACTTTTCTGTTACTTCAGCAAATCTCTGTCTTCATACTGCACCAGCTGTGTGCTCTAACTGCAGTGATATTCCAAGCACTGGAAACCTGGAGACCCTGCCAAGAAGGCTGAAATCTTTTCTCACCTTAGGGAGTACTATCTTCAGTTAGAAATTCAGAGTCCAGTGGAGGCCTGAACCAACTGGCCGTGTAATTTAAATTCACAGAGGATGCATTTGAAGGAGCAGAGATCCTGCCCAGTTACATATGGCACTAGGAGTCCTGGAAACGACCAGTGAGCAGTGTCTGCAGCAGGCAGCTGGGGTGACTTACCGAGAGGAAAGCGTGGACAATATCAGCCTTAATGGAGCTTAGTGGTTTGTCCTTAATGACCACAAAAATCTGTTCTTCTTTCTCCAGGTTGATGAAGTTACCAAACCAGGATTTTTTGGCAAGCCTGAGAAAAGAAAGACGTGGTTTAGAATATTGAGCACTATTTCTTACATACCCCCAGGTAGAAAAAATATTGAAAAACACACAAGGAAGTTTTTATAACACTCCAGATGTTACACTATTACTAATAGTAAGTGGAAAACAGTGTCAGAGAACATCCAGAACAACATTTCACCTAGAAAAAACTGTTAAAATGATGGACCACACAGTGTTAGTCTGGCAGCATGTGTGACCAACAATGAAATGTCAGGAGCAATGGTAACTCTTTTGACTGAGCCAATATACCAATTAATACTGCATATATAAAGTGCATATAAGCCAGGGGACACATTTCCGGTTTGTCTCCTGGGATCTCTCAACTTCTTGTGACAATATGAGGATGCTGGTAACACAGGGATATAAGTTCCTTCCCACCCAACTTCCACCACTTTTCCTAGTGTCCTAGGACTTCTAAAGTTCCTTTTTGGAAGGTGTGCTGTTGGGCTGACAGTACAATCACAGGGTCTTGTTTTTGACAGCAAGCTGTAGGTTTTACTGGACCTCCAATCTGTCAGTGAGTGAAATCCACTCCTACACAGAGGGCCAGGACAAAGACTGTCCCATTCATTAGTCCCAGTCAGAGTGCCTATATAACGAGTGAACTCTGGGCATCCTACAAAGGAACGAATTTTTAGTACTAAGAAAGAAGATACCATCACTATGCAAAATACAGTTCAGGCTTTCCACTGACAGCAGTCCAACTTCACAGTTCGTTTCAGCATCAGATGGTGGTTTCATCATAAAATCAAATTGCTCTGTTTTTTCACACTGACTGTATCAGCAAATGTTTGATTTTGCTTATTGTTTCAGCATCTCAATGCACTTTGTTGACAAAATTAAACAGGCTAAAGGAAAAATGCAGAGATATGAATGTTACTGGGGGACACTACCCAGAACTTGAAGGTAGCACCTCTGACAGGTGTGGCTTTGAGGTGAGAGAAGATGCTGTCAGCCGTCAGATGCAGCCAAAGCATTGCTGGACCAACCTAAACCCAGGCAAAATTCCACTGAAATCAGCCATATTTTAGTTGGGAATAATTTAGGATGAAAACATCACAAACAAAAAGACTTGCCACCAAGAAACTGCAGATTTTTCCTCCACAGTATACTTTATAATGCCATGACAAGTCCAGTTTGCAGTATGGCAAGCAATAGGCCTTCACCTGTTTTGGTGGACATTCACCACTCAATGGAAGAAGACAACCTCTCCAGGTAGGGAGAGCCATCTGCAAAAAGGATTACTATACATCAGCTTTCCAGCAAAGCAATAAACAGCTGGAGAGAGTTATTAGTAGAGGGACTTTCCACGGCAAAGACAGGCTAAGGCAGAATGAGGAAGGGCAGAGACTAGGAGAGAGAGGAGCAAACTAGGAAACTAATTGGAAGTCTAGACCTTCGGGATGAAGAACAAAGCTTGACCTCAGCAGTATCCAGCAATTTGCACTCATTCCACAGTTCAGGGTGCTCCATGAATCACACAACTGTCGTCTCACTGCCCATTTAATGCACAGAGTAGAAAGACCACAACTGGAAGACAGCTCAGCTGTGCAAATAATCATTTGCTTCTACTTACTGCAGGCAACCAAAAATAAGAGTAGAGAAAGATTCACTCGCAATTTGGTCAACCAGTGCCCCCTCCCCCTGCCCCCCTCAATTAAAGTGGGCTGGAAAACTGTCACTCCCTAAAATATTCATAGGCAGCTGTAACTAAGCCAGTGAGCCAGAGATTAGCATAGGGAGCAGTAAAGAGAAAGGGCCTCTCATTTAAATGGGTCGTTAAGGAACCAGGGTTAGAGTGTGAAAGGAAATTACATACTAATTAGCTCATGTGTCTCGCACACACCATAACAACTCCGCAAGCCCCTGGAGAGCTGGGGCAATAGCTCCCTGCATGTAAAGGGTCTATGCTCATTAGTAAATTAGCACCTGGTTATCCATCTAAAACGGCTGGTTGTTTTAGGCTTCTGTGTATCATGATCTGAACTGGTGCTGGCTATATGGACTCCAGGGGCCCGGTGTATCTAACATATGGAAGCTGGGCCTGGAAAAAGTGTGCATATTTAATTGCAGGGCTGCCATGTTAAAATATGGCTTTTCATTTCTGTATTTTCATTAATGGTTTTGTTGGCCTTTCCTTTATAGGTCTCTTAACAAGCACAGGTTAAAAGGGCCCCAGAACGTAGGGATTTCTCCTGTTAAGCTTGGAAACTTGGTCTGGAGTCTCCAGAGTCCAGCTGGGCTCTTTTCTTCAGCAAAGTTACCATCAGTAATACTGACTGTGGAAGATTCACCAATAGCCTGGGCTACGCTCCAGCTTGTAAATCACTGGAATTCACTAAATAATTTTGCTGGTGTCGCATAAGATGGAATAGATGCCAGTGGCCTCTCCCATTTCTGGAATGAACAGAATCAAGACATAGTGCACATGCACTGGCTTTTCTCCCCGAAATTGGCAGAAATAGCTGTGCTCATACACCCAGGAAACAGGCCCACAGAAGAAGAGGAGGAATCTTTGGAGTAAAATGACACAGTAAAGCTTTCCCTCCTCTTAGAGAGTGTCAAGTGCTACTAACTTAAATGGGTTAAAATGGGTATGAATCAAGGATCCTCAGCACCCTGAATGAGATGCACCAGCCTCACAAGATCAGGCTGTAATCAGTAAAAAATACACTTAAAATTAACAATCTTCTCCTGTCATGGCAAACCTTCTAAGGGAAAGGGAGACAGGAGATATGCGTGGGAGGCTGGGTATGTAGATTACTCTAGGGAATCTAATCAGGTGTCCATTTGATGAAAAAGCAAACAGATTAGCATGAAAATGGAGGCTGGTGCTTTATTACTTCACACTGATTTCCTCACTGCTATAATGTTTTTCCTTTTCCTACTTTTGGAGTGTCTGACTGCATTGCCTCCTGGAGAGCCTCACTGTCTTCCCTATCTGTCCCTAAGCGCGTGTATCTGTAACCTCCAGAGGTTTACCTGCTTGGCATAAATAACAGCATTTCTACTCAGGCAAATGGAGCTTTGCACGTTTAAAGCAGCTGGAGCTATGTCTCTTTAAATGTCATCCCTAACACATTTCCTCAGACTTTTTCATATGAGAAAGAATAGCATTACCCAGACATGTCAAAGTGTATTACCTAATCATCAGGTTTGTTAAATGAATGGCAGTCATTAAAGAATGCTGTACCAGAGCAAGGACATGTATTTTTATCATTCAGCCCTTGAGGTCAATGAAGCTCTTGATAAGGATACCTTATTTCTTACAGAAAGGAAGAAAATACAAGAAAAAATAAGACATGTGGAAGTGGGCACTGAACAACAAGACATCTATCGTTAACATAGAATCCAGTTCATTATTTTTTATTACTTTTATTATGTTTACTGCAGGGTGCAGCTCAATTGAACTCATTAATTTGGCAATTATACAGAAAAAGAAAAAAGGGCCTTAGGCTTTGACTCGCATCCAAACTGCCTCAAATGACAGGCACAACTTCTTTATACCAGCTTTTAAAGAGTGAGTGGGAAGCAGAGAAGGCAATAAATTAACAGAAAGACTTCCACCAACATGAGGAGAGGAGAGATTTAATTCTGAACGTTTTCTGCTTTAACGGAAAAACATTTGAGATTAGAGTATCATATATTTATTTGATAAGGATGCATTCATTTTATGAAATTCTCTCATGCCTCTCCATTAGTAGATGCTCCAAAGTGTTGAAAACACAATTTACTCAAATTTTCTTCCTGGATTTCTTTTACTAAACTTTACTATTCCCTACTTCTCCTTCTCCTGAAGTCTTTATCCCTCTCCATTCTGCAGTGTTAGATATAGAGTGTCTATCCTATACCAGATAAATACCAGATATAGGGAAAAGTTGTTAAGGTAATACCACTGTTGGTAATTACAAAACTTTGGGTCCAGAATTTCCATCTATGACTCATGAATATTTCACACAAGTATCTTGACAAAAGACCAAATTGCCTTAGTTGGCAGGGTAAGTCTATGGGCATTGGGTGCACAAACACAAGCTGTGAAAATAAAAAGGAATAATTTGGCATCTGTTGCATATATTAGGAAGTGTTTGGAGCAGCACTTTCTGGCAGGGACTTCCAAACCTGCCATGCAGTGACGCACATTTGTGCAGTGAAATGGCTGAAATGTACACTGACTTTTAGGAGTGAGTCTGGTGAATATGAAACAGCTTCTGCATGTCCCAGAGCTGCTACCCAGATTTAACGCTGCATTTACTATCCCAGCCAAAGTTCCCTCTGAATTATCTTAGCAGAGGCTTCTGCATGTTATCCTGAGGATGCAAAATCTCCTGTACTAAGAGGAAGACTTTTTAGTGCATAGTTAGTGCCAGTATAAGCCACCCATTATCCTCTCCACTCCTCAAAAGGGATCTGCTTGACAATCAAATGAAAGACGACAGAAGAACATTAAAAACCTAGTAAATTTAGTAAGCCATGAGAAAATTGAGAATTAGGCCCATGTGAACTTCAGGAGGCTCAACAAGGCCAAGTGCAAGGTCCCAAAGCTGGGTCAGGGCAATCCTCAGTATCAATACAGGCTGGGAGATGAAGGGATTGAGAGCAGCCCTGCCAAGAAGGACCTGGGGGTACTAAAAGGTGGTCATGAGCTGAAAATGCGAGCTTGTACCCCAGAAAGCCAACCGCATCCTGGGCTGCATCAAAAGCAGCACGGCCATCAGGTCGAGAGAGATGATTCTGACCCTCTACTCTGCTCTGGTGGAACACTGCCTGGAGTACTGCATCCAGGTCAGCAGTCCTCAGTAAGAGAAAGACAGCAGGGCCTGTTGCAACAGGACAAGGGGCAATGGTTTTAAACTAAAAGTGGGCGGATTTAGAATAGACATAAGGAAGAAATTTTTTATGTTGAGGGTGGTGAAACACTGGAAGAGGTTGCCCAGAGAGGTGGTAGATGTGCCATCCCTGGAAACATTCAAGGTCAGGTTGGACGAGGCTCTGAGCAATCTGCTCTAGTTGAAGATGTCCCTGCTCATTGCAGGGGGGTTGGACTAGATGACCTTTAGAGGTCCCTTCCAACCCAAACTATTCTATGATCCTATAATGAGGTGGTTATTGGGAGACTGCTTCATCCCCTGCTGACCTCACTGCCAATTACTGAGGTATAGATTTTCCTAGGAAGAACCATTTCCTCTCTCTGTCCCACTCACAGGATAATAAGTTACTTTGTTACAATACTGGGATATTGTCCCTCTGCCTGAAATTCCTGAATCACCTCATGGCTGTTTCTGACATCTGGTTTTGAGCTCTCACTGTTCACTTTGATTTCACACGTTGGTGTTTAAGTACTCAGTGTTCTATGTTTCATGCTGTCTGAATGCACATGTTTAGAGATTTCAAACACAGCCTGGTACTTCATAATACTCATGTCCTGCTTGCTAGGCTCATACCAACAGGTTTTGACACCTGGTTGGCATGTTTGGAAGTCTCTTACACTGTTTGGCACCCATTTGCAGTTACCTGGTGGTTAAGTAGATACTTCCTACCTTTTTCTGGAACTCTTCAACAAGCGGCTTGTGCAGTGCACCCCATGTCCTTGCACTAGCGCTCTATGGCTCACCCTGTGACATTCAGGCAAGAAAAAGACATTGGTATCTGGTGGGAAAAAAAAGTGCACTGGAAAATTACTTACTCTGGGGACGATTCTGGGGTTAAATTAGACATCTCCTCTGGTGTAGGTACTGCCCATGCACGCACAGCCAAAGAAAGGGAGGGAAAAAAGAAATTGATGATTCAGTAAACCATCGATTTTATGCTTGTATACCAATGAAACAATCCTGGCATTACACCCTCTTGCATTTGCCCACTGCCTCATCAGACTATTTCTGACATTTGAACGTTGGTCATATATCTCTAGATCACTGTAACTAATCAAGTGCTGCATTTCAAGGCTCACCCTACCCTTCCTTAAATCATTCTGTAATCTTGCACTGGCTTCAGTGGTTTCTGGTTCAGACTCGAACACTGTGCCCATCTGATTGCTTTACAATTGCTTCAAAGCCCAGTTGGATGCAGCTCAGTCACTGCTGCAATTCTCTGCAGTTCTCTGACCATATCAGAGACAATGTCCCTGATGATGACAGCTCAAAATCTAACTCTTCCATGGCTGTAATCCTCCTTTCTGATGGGACCACATCCAGTACCCTGTAAAACCACAGGATGTTGGGATAGGTACTGATGATACCTGAGGATAATACATGTGACATTAGGTACCCTTTGCCTGAGTGCAAAAAGCCATCTGGACTTAGAAGAAAACTTCGCACATCTCAACACTCTAGAGAGTCTGAAAACTGGAACAGGCCAGCAGATATGAAACCACTGATTGTATCAAGGAGATTTTTACACCAAGTACCACAGGACTTAAAAAAAGCATTAACCAAGATCAAACAAGCTGTGCTTCAGAAGGACAATTTCAGCCTATTGCCACTGGCTATCTTTTTTCAGAAGTCTCAGCCTGTGGCTATGGAGAGGCAATGAAGTACAGCCATAGGGGAAAAGGCAGAGCTCTAGGTCCTCTGACAAAACAAATAGAGAAGGTGAAGGTAGTATCTTCTTGTGTTCTAAAAGCGACAACAGGGATAGTTAGAGCTGTATGGCTAGAGTGTGAAGAGGGCTTAGGAGATGCTGTAAGAGCAGGTGCAGTGGCATGACAGAGCCTGCTCCCATGTGCCGTGAGTCAGGGCTGGCTGACACTATCACTCTCATTGTCAGTACCAATATTCAGCCCTCAGCACATGAAATTTGCAGAGCCACAGAGAGATATCAACTTGCTGCTGAATGTCTGCCCAGGTAAGAAGCACCCTGGACGTCTGGGTGACTACTCACCTTGCAATTTCCGGCGATGGAAGCGAGGAGACCCCAGGAAACTATTCTTGATAGAGTTGAGCCGTGTCCTCCATGGCATTCCTCCAATGCTGGGGCTGGATGGTGGTGTTGGGTTGGGTGTGCCTGCTGGGCTCTCCTTTGGCGTATGGACAGGTGTCCCCTTGGGGGTAGGGAGGGGACTTCCCCTTGGAGAGGGGTGAGGGGTGACCTGTATGATGGGGATAGATTTGGTGCTTGGGTCAGTACTAGAAGGGAGCAATCTAACAGGAGACATAGGGTTGGTCTGCACTTTAGGAACAGCCAGCTGTGGGTTAAAGCCGGCAGCAGGTGAGCGGCCCTGAGCATTCTGCACAGGAGTGTTCTGGGAAGAGGGGGCGCTGGTATTGCTGGTAGGGAGTGGGTTGGATTTAGTAGACTGGAGTGGTTTTTCGGCCAATTTGCTCTTGGATGGCAAAGTCTGCGTCTTTGGGTTGGGCTGAAGTGCTGGCTTTGGTTGGAGTACATGTCCAGGCCTGGAGGCGTTCCTACAAGCATCAGGGTCCAAGGAGACTTGGGGTCGGGGAGAGAAAGGGAGGTCGGAGGTCTGAGGGGGGATGAAGAACTTTCTGATAGGCTACGAGACAGACACAGAGTGTCCATGCACATCAAAAACAGTGAAATACGCATAGAGCGGGCGAGCAGAGAAAGGAAAGTCAGAATAAAATCCATCCGAGTCACAAAGATGCACCATGTCACAAGGAGACACAAGAGATGGAGGTGAAGGGGTAGTGGGGGGGAAGGGATTTTGCAAAGAAACAAAAACAAACAAACAAACAAAAAACAAAAAAAAGACATGCAGTTAGCTGGGAACACAGCATAATCAACAACAGCAGCAGCGGCAGCAGCAAGAACAACAGTGTCATAACAGGCTTCATCATATTAACCAACCACGTGTCAGCAAAGGAAAACAACAGAAAGAAAAGTAAAACAAAGGAAAAGTAAATAAAAAATAATAATAATAAAACAAAACAAAACGAAAGAAAGTAACCAAGAAAAAAGAAGAGAGAAATGCCATCTCTCTGGGATTGTTCTGATTGCCCTGCAGTGAGAGAAGCACGATGCTGTAGGGAGGTGAGGAAGGGGAAGAAGAACCACTCAAGCCACAGACAAATTGAGATGTGCCAAGAATGGGACCACCTCTATCAGCTCCAAGTGGCCATACGCAAACCCAGCAGAGAGATGAAACTTAAAACAGGTGTGTGATACATACGGGGTGGTAGGCGATACACACAGGTTACTGCACACACCAGTCAGAACCTCTTTCCATCCTCTTTACCCCTGACTCTGGCTAATGCACACCCCAGCTGCAGCCGCTCATTTTGGAAAGAGGGGGAAAAGGGAGAGTGATCCCACATGGGCATCCGCTCTCCTCCCCTGGCCTGGAAGGTTAAACCGCTCAGCATTCTCTTGGAGGCTTCAGAGCACACACCACCACGAGAAAAAAATGAACTCGGGTTGGTGTTTGATTTGTAAACAGCTACAACAAGAACTTCAGAGAGGCATGGCAAATGTGTTTATCTGGGAAGAGATGATACTTCCCATCAGACTTTATGCTTCTCTTGCAACATCCCTCATCAAAGGACAGCTTGATAATCGGAATTTCTGTCATAAAGTCCCAGCAATATTTGCCATTAAGTCCCAATTCTATGAAGGGGGTGGGGAGAGCCATTGTTTTGTAAGACACAGTTTAAAAAGAAAAAGATAACAAACTTTGTAACACACTTCATAATCCATCAGTGAGTTATCAAAATGGGATTATGAATTTTTTTGCCCAAAAAAGAACATTTACACATTAGAGGCATTTTGGGAAACCATTCATATGTCAACAGCAAACAGCAATACACAGACTTGGGAGGATAGAAGCCTTTTAAAGGGATATCACCAAGCTAAAAAATCACATTTAAAACAAAATGAATGTCCTTACAAAACATTGCTGTTAAAACCTTAGATTACAAGTACTGGCAGAACTATAAAAAGAGAAATCACTGCTCAAGATATTTAGCTTTGGTCTGCACTCAGATTATAATTTCTATAAATAATTACTTATTACAAATTATTTATGACCATTATTATTATTATTATCCATTTATAATAACTAAAAGCTGTAATCAAGCACTGTCCAGACATCGCACGTACATGTAACCATTCTTCAAATCTCAGTCCCTGGTAAGCACACTCACTACTGAGCTTACTTTCTGGGTTTGGTGGATTAGTACAATGTTGCCATATTCAAAAAATGCAGAAATATACTTAAGACGTAATTCATAAAATTGTTTGCATCAAAGTTTTGTAATTACTTTAAAGAACTTAGGGTTAGGCAACCAAAATGAAAAGAAAATCACTACATCAAAACATTCATATTATAATTAGGATCGTAAAGTTAAACTAAAGTCTGCCATGTTGGTAAATTCTGATCACTAATGGGAAAGGAAGGGGAAAAGATGAGGAAAGTGGTCAATTTATGGAAGTCACTATCATCATCTGGCTATTAGCCATTTGCAAATGACACCAATGGATGAAAGTTGTTGATTGTAAATGTCTCCTTGCAATTTTTGTATCTTATGTATATGATGGTTTGATAAACAAATTTGAAAGAAAATCAAATTTAGCTCCCACTTTAGCCATTACGAATCTGAAAGGGCACTCTTAATTACCACATTTTTAATAATGAAATAAAGAGCAAGACTAGGTCTATATTTCAGCTGGTGCAATGGGGAACACCATTAGTAAGATCTTGTGAGATTTAGGACATCTCAGTTGCTGTCAAATTCAATTCCTCATAGAACTGAACCTAAGCAGCGCATATAGTGAAATGCGTATTTGCTTTTTAAAGTATGTCCTCATTCAATATTCTAAGGTGCTGTTAGAAGCACAGGTAAGGATGTTTAAAAAAATATGATTTTTATTCCAACATTTCCTTTTAAGCCTCAAATTTGACCTGCCTTAATATTGTTATGATCTGTTGAAAATGCTGAATCCCTTTGAAGACTATTTAATCAACTGCCTATTAAGTAATAATGGTAAGATAGAGCAACTATGGAACAGAACTTGTCATCCTTATTCTTTGATGTAGCCCTTCTGAGATGTCAGAAATTGATCCCAAGAGATCAATTAATGAGATCAAGATTTAGGCTTGCTGAACGGGATGCTTATTTTGCGCACAAAACTGCTTCCGTGGTCTTTTTTACTACATTTTGCAGTGGCATAAGAGTTCTCAGACCTCTGCTTTGTTCCGCTGGCATCCAGGAGTCCTGGTGCAGAAACAAGGAAATGGATCTTCACTGGTTCCTGGCATATTAAAGACGCAGAGGAGACCACAAACATTTATGCCAATTGCAAAATGGGTAACAATTGATAGGAAGCCAGAATGCGTTTCAGAAAATAGTTCAATCAAGCAAGGAATTGGAAGCTTTATTAGCCTATAAAGTTACACTCAACAGTGTGTCTCTATGTATAACAACTACACACAATGATATTGGGGAATTATTATTTTAAATTCTTTGAATACTGATGTTATCTTCATATACCTAAGGAATAGATCCATAGGTGTATCCGTGCCCTAACACATGGAATCTATCCATTTCCGATGGGGGATGGCATCTTTGCATGAAATCATTAAAAGCACGTAAAAATCCTCCAAAGACTCTGGGCCAGACAATTAGGTAACATGGATCGCCACAGCCCTACAGCGGAGGCTTAGACTTTTGTAAGGACTGCAGTCCTGAAGTGATAAGCTGATCTTGTCAGACACCAGGAATACTCTTAGATGCTTTCATCCCTAAAGAAGTTACCAAGGAGAGGGAGGCCTCTGTCATTGCACTTAGAAACTGTAATAACTTTGCATCAGATGTACTATCAAGCATATTTTGTACCAGCTGAGTATCAGGATTAGTAAAGTATCCGTATTTAGTTGACTGTATATTGACTAAGGGCATGTGAATGTTCCTTATCTATAGGTATAGTCTTTTCTCATCCTAATTAGTCAACTTCTTACATTCCTTTTAAATTTCCTAGCCCTCAAATTTGTATAATTTATTTTCTCTGACTTTCTAATACAAGCTATTCCAAGGCAAACAGAATCAAGCTGGTTGTAACGGGCATGGTCTGGTGCTCTGCTGTGACCTGATTGAAAGTACCTGTGAAATGGTTCCTGATATTTGGTCTGAAACCACGCTGTACACAGACTTCAGCTGGCTATGGCAGTGTTTAGTCATAGCAACGTTATCATGTGCTCATGAGACTGAAAAAGGGCAGGGGCACAGTGAGATCCCCGCTAACAGTGCAGGAACATGTATGAGAAATTCTCTGCTTGCACTTGTAAATAACATTTCCCTCACCACCCATGAAAATTTACAAGCTGCCAAGGAAAAACAAAACATCCCAGCTAAGAGCCACAGCTCTGCAGCAACAGATGTCGAAAAGCATCAAGCATGTGTGAGTGAATTGGACCAACAGATCTTGAAGCAGCACCACTTACCCTTGGACTGCTGAGAGGACTGGTGGAGAGCCCAGATGATGCTCCGCTGATTGACCGAGACCTGAATGGACACAATAAGAAAAACGGCCCTCAGAAAACTTGGACAAGTAATAACCCTGAACACCAGCCACCACAGGCACAGGCATGAAGTGAGGAGGAGGAGGGAGGCTGTCACTGGAAAAGCACATGACTCTTTCCTTCCACTGCCGTCACATTTTTCAGTTGTCCCACCCTCAAACCAAAGAAACGCTGTTGCTCAGGGAGGATACTATATTCCCTTTTCATTGAAGAGTTGCTACCTTCTTTTTGATCATCAAGCACACAGAAGCTACTACCTCTGATATGTGCAAGCTGAACTGCTGAATTCAAAAAGGATTGTCAAGACATTCATTTTGGTGCTAAGGATTCTCTTCTGCACAGTGCTGGTGGACACAGAATGAGACGTTCTCTGTCACGAGCAACATGGAAAAGCACCATGTGTACAAGGCACAAAGGTAGGGGATTCTTCCACATATGAAGAAAAAAACCAAGTCTCCATGACCCAGCCACACAATCATTTCCTATGTGACAACTTCCCATTGAAATCAAAGCTCACATTGGCTTAAACCTTTCCAGCTTCTCACTGATACATTTCACATCTCTGCTCTCCAGAAAGACTTCCTGCTGTTAAACAAGCCAGATCTTCTCTATGGATAACGAGTTCTATTGTTAATGACTTTACTAATATCAAGGTAACAGCCCAGGTGCCCTTTAAAAGAGGCCAGTCAAGGGAGAATAAACTGTCCTTCTATTTGCTGACAAGGTCACCTATACTGTAATGCTCTTATGCTCTCCAGCAAAGGTCACCTATGAAAAATGTCAGCTGCAGATAATAAAACATACAGATATGCTGCACTAAACATGCTGAAAAGACAGACAGGCCAAATGCACAAACATTTCAGCAGCAGAAGTTTCCAGGAGGAGGGCTGCCCATCAGGAAAAAAAAACTTTCCGTGTGACTGTAAATGAGTAAGCCCCAGAGGCAGCTGCTTTCTACCCTTCATATCTAGAAAGAAACATGTCTTGAAGACTGAAACATCTTATAGGAGAGGACTTGCCTAAGAACCTAGTTGTTCAACAACCATCATGCAACATGTCAATATAGCAAACCTACCAATGTTTCACCTATAGTAAGAGCCATGAAAGCAATCACTTGCCTTCAGGTAACAGACATGAAAAGGTGAAAACCTGTAGATGCCTGGAAAACAGAATGCATGTGTGTATGTGTATACATAGGTGTCTATATGTGTGTGTATACATATATATATTTAAAATTGATATAGGTCAGATAGCTAATTTCAGCTTATACATAAGATAATATAAAACAAATTTAGACCATAAACTGTCCCAGTTTATTCTCTTTTACTGTTACAGAAGAATAAAACAAAAAAAAAATCAGGTTTTGAAATGGTCATCTAGACATATATTAATAAATAAATTTGAGTTGTAGAACTACTAAAATGTGAACTGCAAAAGAGGAAATATTTCCGATGAAAGAGTAAGCTACAACTGAACACAATGGCAGGACCTGTTCTCTGTATTTGTATCCTCTGCAGAAACTACTCACTGATGGTTTCTTTGTATCTCATTGTAGTTTGTCTGTCACAGTTAAGTAGGTGAAACCCAGAAATCCAATCTCAGCATGCTTTTTTGCCAGATTAAATCCAAATTTGCACCATGAAAATGTGGGGCACTCATCCTATGCAGAAACTCCCCACTTAGGTTTTCCCTTGTACCCTGCTGCAGTCTGCCCATCACGGTACAGCAGTCAAAAACTAGCAGCTCAGTCTTGACATTCTTTTGCACTAGATTAAACCTAAATTTGTACCATTAATATCTGGGGCACTCATCAAAGTTTTCGCAAAGTAATTTTAAGGGGAGAACTGTCTGCTCCACTTTTGAAAGGCTATTTTATGTGCCTCTCCTATAACTGAAGTAGCTGAGCGCAACACAGATGTCGTGCATATGGGAAGCCATTTAGTTAAAATCTTCCTTGTATGAGTCATCAGGAAAAGCTTCTTCCAAACCATAAATTACAAGAGGAACCTACAGATTATCTTGGACAAATGTGGAAGACATTTAGGAGCCCAGAGATGCAGTTAAACACCTACTTAGGAGTTGAACTCCCACTAGGAGCTGTTCCCACCAACACTTAACTGTGGTGGAAAAGTCCTCTCTGACACTCACCTGAATTCCAGGATACTTGATTTAAAGTTCCAATCTGCTATCTCCTCTTTGCAATCAGGTGTTTCCAACAGTCCTGAATTCTCCCCTCCCAACCCCATTGCCTCCTATTTTTTTACAAAAATGATCATACACATGGAGGGCAAAAACACGGCAGGCCCCACCTCCCAACTCCCAGTTCCTTATTGGAAGCAATATTTGAAAAAGACTTGTTGTGTATTGTGTTTTCATCCAGCCTAGGAGCCTGAGGTAGGGGACAGAAGAGAGAGTTAGTGTGAAATCCTCCTGGAAATGCATTCAGTATCCACATGATTGCTACTGAACAAGCTTTATTTCTGCTGCTGATTTACATGCAAAATATGTAAGAAGTAAAGTAGGCCCTACAGCAGGTTTTAGTTTGTCCACACTGGACATTGTATAGAGGAGCAGTGGAAAAGAGTTTAAAGAGTCCTGGGTTAATTTTAAGTGCTGGGGTGAAAAGAGAGCTGTACATTTTCAAAACTTCTCCCCTTTACAAGAGAGTGCTGGTATGGGATACGACACCCAGACTGAGGAGATCTTCCTTGCATCTTCTTCAATTTAACAACTCTCCCATAATTTACCTTCACAAATGGGACATAGTTCCCAAGCTGGCTATAAAATCTCAGTACAGTGGCAGGTTCTATACTCCAGTACAAAAATGCTAACAAGCAAAAATGACAGATTTGTCCCTCCCATCAAGATCATCTTAGCTGGGAAATGCTAGAATTCAGGTTTAAACAAACAACTACACATGTACTGCTCCTGTATCTCAGAGTCAGGTGGACAGAACTGGGACAGAGCGAAAAGAAAGTAATGAAAACGTTGCATTATGCTGTAATGAAATAACAGAGAATTTACATTTTTATCCCTCTCACCAGAAAATGAAAGTATGAAGCCCTACAGGCAGCACATTAGTATGGCAGATCCTGGATGATCTTATGTGTGGGAAGCAGAGAAAAATACGACATCATCTTATCTCTATGGCTATGAACTAAGTTTACTTAGTGGGAACTATCTATTAGTGAGTAACCTCCTAGAAGTCTCTACAGGCATTAAATGTCATTGTAAGTATTAAATCTGTAATTATTCCAATAACTTAATACTAAATGCAACAATATAGGAAACTATGAACTTGTCTGTGACTCATTTTGCTCTGTGTTTTGCATTGCTGTATGCTTGGGCACTAGCTCAATGGAGGCCATCAAAAAGTTGTTGAAAATACAAGCAGAAAAAAGGTAATGTAGTTGCTCAGATAAAGAGCATTCCCTCAAACACAACTTCCAGATTTAAAGACACAAGAAGAGATTCCACTTCTTCCAAAGTGACATAGTTGTTTTGCCAAGCCTGGTAGGAGAAATTACAAAAGCAAACCTAAGGGGCCTAAGACGCAAGGTTTAGGAGGGAGAAGATGTAGAGGGCAAGAGGAGCACTGAGACCATTGCAAGCTATTCCTCCCATCTCATAGATTCACAATAATCTGGAGACATCTGAGCTATGAAAGAGAAGCCAAGGACTGAAACAAAATGTGCATGTGTGGGCTGTAGTTTGTAGATGTAATGATTTTATACCTTATTCAATCTATCTGATACTTCAAAGTATCAAAGGCCCCTTGTTTTAAAGTAATTTTTCACTCATTTTAGCCAGCTGCTATTAAAGAGGAAGCCATGTGAAGCCCAATTCATGTTAGACCAGTGGTGTCTTACTGGTGAAACTGAGGAGCTGGAATCCAGTTTCCAGCTGGTTTCAGAGAACTGCAGAATTTCTTGAGAGCTAAGAGGTAAAGGGCCAAAGTCTCACACTGCTGAGGTGTAGGCAGAGAGAGATACAAGAAGGAAAAGCACAGCTGCCCTGGTAACCACACTACACATATAGCACATGCACAGAGCACCTCTATACAGCCCTTCACTCAGATTAATTTTGAAGAGCTCTAAACAGTGCATCTGCTAGTACACACCAGTAGAGTGTAAAGGCTTCACAGCCAGCATTACACATTTGGGTCAGATTTGGCATTTGCTTCTTCTTTGAATGATCATCTCAGAAGTTTTTCTTACAGGCAGTTTGGTACCTTGTTGCAGTCCCAGCAGAACTTGCTTTCATAGCACAGTTTTACCAGGGTGCTGAATACAGCCTCGTAGCTGGTCAAGCTGGAGCCATGCTTCAAAGAAGGGGAGCCTGCAGCATGCATGCAGCGTGCAGAAATGCATCAGACTTGTGTCCATGGGTGAAATGCCTTAAAAATTTTGAATTGGTTTGGTTCCATGTGTAGTTTTGAAAGTCAATCCCAAAACATCCAGCTAACCTCTTATTTGCCTCAATTACAAATTGGGTGGAATTTGATACTTCTCTTTGCTTGCTCAATCAAATAAACCCTAAAAATTCTAAACTGTATTTCAGCATATGAGACCCCTGAAAATGACCTGAATTAATATCAATAGGTCAGCAGTCAGCCATTGTGTATTACGACATTTTATCGCTATTACTCTTGGGTGTCCAAAGGATATAAACTGTGCTACCTTGCTCCCTGATCTAGGGAATATGAATAGAATAACTTTGATGCTTCTCTATCTTACAGTCCCAACCGTGCTAATAATACTAAGTATAACGCCTCTTACTGGGAATGCTTGAGTTTAAGTCAAGGTCTACTCATGGTAATAACCGCTTGTAAGACGAAGCCTTACAAAGAGTTCAGCGAAAGGACTGCAGGTTGTTGGTAACACACCTCTTCTTCCTTTCAGTGCACACAGAGGGTGATGTTAAACAGCACTACCTTCCTTAATTGGCCAATTATACTAAAGTTCCATTTATAAATGGTTTAGAAAGAATTAATAAATAGTAAAGCATGCAATAAACATGAGAAGTAAATGTTAGTGGTGCTAATTAGCTTTCTCAATACGTGCCCTCTCAATAAGCTTTTGCTGTAGTCTGTAGTGATCTATTACAATGTTTTTATTAAATCATTTATTAATAAAATATTCTCCTTCTGTTAAGTATTTATAAATGGAACTTTAATTTGAAGTGTGACTGCATTCCTAGTTGTACCTATACCCTCTTTATTTAAAATAAAGAGCTTTGAAGATGTATCTGTCTCTAGGGCCATCTGTTCACCTCTTAAGAAAACACACACTAAAAAGAAAGGGAATACCCAGCATTTTTTTAATAACATGGATAGGATTCAGCTTTATCTTAAAAAAAAAAAAAAGAAGAAAAAATGATAAATTAGGATCAAAATTAACTGTAGGTTACCAAACGGATACAAAAAGCACTAAACAGAGAAGGGGGTCTCATTCTCAGAAGGTCTCCTGGTACCTGCACAGTGTCTGAGGATAGTTCTCTGTGCCCACAGACATTGAAACGTAGAGACAAACAAGAGAACAAAAGAGAACCCGAAAGTAAATTATATGGAGTCTGACTCCAACATAAAAGCACACAAACACACACAAAAGCACCAAAAATGCTTCTTCCCACATCTCTCTCTCCCTGCTGTAAAGCCTCAATCACTGAAGTATATCAGCCTATATTATATTTGTCAAGTGCAAATGAAAAGTTTCTCTACAAGATACAACAGGTCCCGCAACAGGAATAATCCAAAACTAGAGCTTACCCCAACGGATCAGCACTCGCCATCCTCGGAAAGGGAAAATGAAGAGAGAGGGAGAGAGAAAGAAAGAGAGAGGGATGTGGAGGCAGGTGGAGAGAAGAGTAGGAAAAGCAGAGTGAAATACTGTTCCGAGAACTGAACGGTCATAATTATTGCCATCGGTGCCTACATCTTCAGAGACCAGGAACACTAGGGGGACAGTTTCATTTACCAGAAAACAACTTTTGTCCTGCTCACAATATTGCAGACACATCCAACTTTGGCACTGGGGAATACGGAGAGGGACATACTAAGGCTGTAAAAAAAAAATTCCCAGCCAAATCCCAATTAAAGCCGTCAGCAGAGCAATGGGGTTCATACTTCATGCTGCATTTCTTTTCTGCCTCTTACATAAGGCACAGTTATATCAGACTGTTATCAAGGAAATTTTTCTTTTTGTCCCCAGTTTGCTCAGTGTAGTGTCCCTCTGTCCCCCAAGCTGGCCTGGTAAAGAAGTACTTTTTTTGCCACGAATGAACTGTGAAACGTATTGGTTATTAAAGCATGCATTTCTGAGCCAGCTTGGGAGCCCAGGGTACAAGATTGTAGCTCAAGCTGTGAATCTGCTTTGTTACTGGCTTATTAGTCATGATGGTCTCACATTCAGGAATTCAGATCAGCTAGAACATACCAGCTCAGCAACCCGACACTTATCTCTGTGGATGCCATCTTGTGCTCCAGGATCTCATTTTTCATTTAAAATAAATTCAGTCTCTGGGTCTTAAAGGTTGCAAAGAAAATCTTTCAAATGCGAATGGAGAATAAATCAATGCTGTGCTGAAAAGAGTCTGAAACAGCAGCTCTAAAAGCAGAATGAATCTCTGGCACGATGACTTTGAAGCCTAGTGACAATCAAAAACTTCAGTATTCTTAATTTTTCACTACTAACCAAAGCATTCAAAATCAAAAAGAATAGTCAGGTTATTAAGTTTTCAGGGGTGCAGGTAAGCAAACTCAATAAAAAAGAAATTAGATTAGAAATAAAAAAAAATAATCTGGTGTGTTATTAAGCCAAATTATTTTCAAGTTGTATGTAGTGCTTTTTTTCCTCTCTGTCTCTTTCTCTCTCTCATTCCTCCATTTTCAATAACAGGCTCCCAAGCTGCCAGAGCTACCTCTGGCTGGGTGAAGAAAATCCATTCTCCACAAGACGGTCACCAACAGAAATGCCAAATTTAATATATGCCCAGTAGATTTCACAGTTTACTGCTCAGTGCAACTAGCCATGCTTCCGGTTACATCAACATTGCAAATGCTGGGTGGGCAACACAAGGCAGTTTGGAGAGAAGTTAAAATTAAAACAGTTAGAAAAGAAAGAAAAAGCTTGTGCTTTGCATTGATAGAGAAGTGGAAAGAAGCATTACAATAAGTTCTTTTTCATGTGTTTGAGTGACACTCCATTTGTATTTCAGCCTGGAGTGCAAATTTGTGTAAGATCTAATTCTATAATTTATATACAAATACATATATATGTATATATTTGGGGACAAATGCTGTCCTTAATTGTACCCATACAAACCTATCTACAGTGATGTAACTGAGAAGAGCAAATTGACACCCATTGTATATTTATACAGAAAATACACCCATATTCACACATGCAGAATATTAACATGTAAATAGAATGGGTGCAAGAAGGTTGATTAATTTTTCTTTCAAGTCATTTTCCCAACAGGGAAGGCACTGAAGAGGTTAACAAAGAGAATGGAAAGCAAATTGACAATAGGAAAAAGGAAGAGGGAAATGAGGTTTAAAAAAAATGAACAATCCCAGGACACAATAGACCCAGAAGCGCAGACATGTGCATTCCCTACAATACTGAAGCAAGTGAACTACGGAGCTGCAGCAACCCAGATACAGGAGAAGAGAAGCACTGAAAGAGGGGGTGAAAGAGAAAGTCAGAAAGAAAGAAAAAGAAAAAGAAAGGAACAGTGGCCTCAGCTACTAAGACAACCATGTGCATCTAGAGGGAAGGGACCCTTAAAGATGCAGTATTCCTTTAAAAAAGACATCATAAAGTTGGATAATTAAACACTGGCCAAAAATTTAATGGCCACCATGATTATCTGGCTCCATTTTGCTGGGGTTCTCTTTGCTGTCTATCCCTTTCTTTCATGTGGCTGTTTGCAGATCCAGAATCCAGGCCATCTCGTTTTCCCACCACTGAGGTCCTCATCCTAACTCTTAGAAGTGGGAGGGCAGTTAAGACCACAGCAAATGTGGTCCTCCAATAAATTTGACTGGTCCTTCAGTGAAAAGGACCCTAGGTGATCCTCATGCAGTGCCCTAACCTTCTCCTTCTGTGCTCTGAAAAATATTACCTTTGAAAGGGAACATGAAATCCCCCAGTGGTTACTGAAGGGTCACTTCCTCTGTACCTAAAACAGCTGTAGCAGCTGCTAGAGAAGGATAGAGGGACAACGAATGGTGCTGGGAATATCTGCTTAAAGATTCTTCTCCTGCCACAGATAAAATTTCTGCACTTCTCTTACTGGATCTGACTTGCAATTTCTGTGGAAAAGCTCATCTTTAGAGTCGTTTCAGACTAGCTTTTAATGCAAGAAGTGCCATATGTTCAAGAACAGAACTCACATATAGGGAGAATCAGAGAAAGGAACATAAATTTCCATGTCTATGGTAACAGCCCAGGAAAGCCCAGCCACTAAAGACTGTACAGCCACTACTTCTTCATGGCTGTTCAACGCTTGTTCCTATTTTGGCATCTTAAAGAGGGTGCTTTACACACCACGTGAGGCTCTCTCCTGCAGATGCACAATGTTCTTCATTGTGGTGGGTTCAGGACTTGAAATACTGCCCACAAAGGACTGACTCAGTCTGCAAAAGGCCAAAGCAGGGGCTGTCCCTCACATATCCTGAGGCTTAAAGGCCACATTTATCTTTAAATAGAAAGGTTTCTATTAAAAGGGGAAACGGAAAGAAGAATGGTTTGCCAAGTCCATAAGTTCCTTTAAGGAACTCACTGCTTCCCCCTTTTTGAATCGTATGGAACACTCCTAACCTTTGGGTAAGCTAAGTGTTTGTCCAAATGTATAATGATCACATTTTGATGAAGTGGGACATCCATTGGAATGTCAGCTATTAACACTAGAGAAAAATTCTCTTCCTCGGAGACCAAAATTTTAGGAACACCATGTCCACTCACAACCTTCCCAAAAGTTTAAAGTTTATTTTTTTTGTTCATGGACCCACATAAGTCCACTGAGACTCCCTAAATCTGGTGTCCTGCATGTCTTCCATTATGGCCCTATTCACAGTTGGGAGTTACCCTTTTTGTTACTCTTCACCATCTGTCACTTGAACTGCTAGATTAGAATCACCATCCTAAAACTCTTCTCTTTGATCATCTTTCCCTCTTGTGTTCTCTGGTGCAGCCAGGGTAGTCTTAAGGAGCTTGTCTCTTCCTTACAGGCACTTAATATTTTGCTCTGTCAGACAGAATTTCCAAAGTTTCCTACTATTGCTGTCACTGGCTCAGTTGTGCCACTGTTTCTAGCGCTGGGAGTGAAACACTCTGGGCTTTCCTAGTGTTTTATATTCCAATTTTTCCCAAAGCAGTCTTAGCAAATGCATCTCCTACCCTAGGCATCCTCACTCAGGGCAGAACTGAACCAGGAGTAGCAGTAGGATGAAATTTTAGTGGGGAGAACGTTGGTACAGTCACAGGCTGCATTAGGGGTAGCCTCAAATGAATGGTACTGTACAAAAATATATGTGGTGTGGGGCTGTAAATATCCCACCCTCTTTATTTCTCTCTAAAGAGAGAACAGCCATGTCCCCACATGGAGAAGGTAAGTACTGCATCTTTAAGGTCTCAGCAGTGAGGTAGAGGAGAGGAACATATTGTCAGTGTTTATACCTTTCTTCTTTGTTGAATTTGGGATTGGCTTCAGAGATATCCAGGCTTTTACTGAACATTGTTTTACTATGGCAGGAACAAAGCGAGAAAACAGAGTTACTAGTGTGGACATTTATACAAGAGAGTCACCTGAAGCAATGCTGGATACCCAGCCCCCCAACCCATCCTCCCCTTATTTAAGCAATGCTCTGAAAAACCTTTCTTTTACTTTCCAACTATGGCTCAAGCCTACACAGTGCTGAAGTTCATTATCTTCCCCTGACTTCTGAGGTCTAAGACGACTTCCCCCATACATACTTGTAAACCCTACTCCCCTTTATCTAATTGAAAACCCAGGTATCATCTACTGTGTCCAGGGAAAATAGAACATGCCTGAAGGCACAAATTGCAATGCACTCATTACTCAGACTTTTCTAGAAGACCTCAACACTAAGCACAATCTGGGAAAAGGTTAAAATCAGACCACAGAGCCTCTCAGAGGAACAGTAATCCATTTTGTATTCTAATTTGTAGGGTCCATTACCACTTACTCCCAACTCTCTTCCCTATACTCAGTGTATAGAGAAATGCCCTTCTTTACCATCTTGGGTCCGAATCCCCGAAGCTTAGAAGAAAAACTCCCTGTGCTTTGCTAAAGGGGCAGCTCTCTGTAATACGTTTCACTGGTAACATGCTTCAGTGTTTCACAGAACACTGCTTCCTAATGTTAGCTGATCTTTCATGCAAGCTATCCACTTCAATAACCAGAAGAAAATGAATAGTTAATGAAGCCCATTTTAGAACAGCTTTTGGACTTTCACAGCAGAGCTGCTGAAAATTTCTGGCATATCTCCGAGGGATTCTAGCTCCCATGGAATTCTTCCTAGTCTGTGTGATTCTGGCACAAGGGACAAATTAGCTCATGAGATTCTAAGCTCAGAACCTACCTCTTCTCTTTTGACATTTCAATGAAACACCAGATAGTCTGAGAGGTGTGGATATCACAAAAGCAGAAGCAATTAAGAAGTAATTATGAACCCTTTTAGTTGACAACGAGCAGGGAAAACGAAGAATTAACAAAACTTAGTCACCAGTTTTAAGGTCGCTGGTGTTTGTGCATACAAACTTTGCCATATATGAAGACCAAATGGAGAACACTCGGAGAGGCCAGCACAAGCATTTCAAGAAGTCAGTAAGTTTTTGTGCTGAGTTCTCCTCTGTTATCCAAAACTAAGTCACTGAAGGTCTGTGTTTTTCACTTAATACTTTCTCAGCTTGTAGGGTTGAAGGTCGTCAAGTTTCAAATCTCAATGGAAAGATACGCCCTTGAACAAGCTAAGACCTCACATGGTTACCAGAACCATAGTTCATGACACAGACACGTAAACCAGAGTTATAACATAATTCCCCTGTATGCAAGCAAACATCTGTTTACTACTGGGAAAGAGGAAAATAGGACTAAATCACAAAACATATAGGTGTATTCTGGCCACTGGTTAGAAGAGTATCTCTGCCAGCTCAAGAAAGAAGCAATGGCTCTGTGTCTCTGGATGTTTACACAAGTCATCTGTGTCTAAATAGGAGACCTGTTTCCATGGTCCACCTCCATGTCTTCCTACTATTGTAGCATTGAACAGTCATCTGTTGAGACCAAATAATGTAATTCTTAAAAAAAGCATCCGCTTCTGGGATCTAAGCCCTACTGCTGTAAAATCCACTGCCAGTGGGTCATTTCATGGAATATAGCATGCCACTAGCCGTTAAAAATCCCCCACTCTTGGTGGATGGCCCTTGTCATTTTGTTACTGACTGTTCTGACAGATGGTGCCCCATCAGCAATGCATCGTCCCCAGACAACCCGCATGCAGTGGTGTTCATTAATGAAGCCAGTTCACATTATAAACAACTGTGCTGCCAGCAACACAAAATGTGCTGTTGTCATCTGTGGATGTGGATGGTATGAAATATGGAAGCTCACACATGGAGTAAAATAACATCTTCCCTTTAACCCCTTCCAAACAAGCACTATACCAAGCCCATCATCATCAATCACAGTGTTATTACATCCCTTTCTCCACCCTTAATCACACCTTTATGTCCAGCCCTGAGCTGTGATATGCATTGCCCTGTACCTCTTTTGTGCCTGGAAGGTTTCACTTCCTCCTTCAGTCACAGCCCTTCTTTACTGGTATGTAGCCTGGATATGTCCCTGAACTCCTCACACCATTTGACTTCATTTGTTTCCTCATGTGCAGAAATGAGTGAGACATTAAAAAGCAAAAGAAATACTTTGGATAGCAAGACACAGCTTTGCGTGTTCAGACTTTTGAATCCAAAGTCAAAGCTGAGAGCTGGAAGAGAAGGTTTCAGCTCTCAGAAAATTTCGTGCTCGTTCTACCACCTCCTGTTTGTTCCACACAGTTGGATGCCTACTGTAAACAGCTGCAGAGTACTGCGACTCACAGGCAGCCTTGGAGTGGGGGAAAGTGATCCACCTCTGTCTGGCTCTGGGAGCTTCATGGCCCATGCATCTACCAGGTACCAGATTAAACACTGTAAGCTGAATAAAGAGTGAGCAACTGTTTGTCAGTGTTGTGTTCATCTTTATCACTTTGAGGCCTGTGAAGAACACTGAGCACACCCTGTCCTGAACGCTTACTTCCTTCACCCAGACCTCACATCAAAGCAAACCACATATTCAAGACAGGTTTCCAACCTACACTACAGTGAAAAATCTTTATGGCAGTGTATCTCACACATCCACCCTGAAATAAGTGCTAGCAGATTCTGGAAATCACTGCTTTTTCCTCACTGTAGATAGAACTGTAATGGTAAACCTTTCCAGCAATTCTAGGGGCCTCTGGACATGAAATTATTTCATGTTCTTCACCCAGTTTTCAGTCAGGAAGGGACTTTCTGGGCACAGCAGACTCTTTTTGAGCAGATCTTAACAGCTGAATGAAAAAATCATGTCATAAAGCTGAAACAGAAGTTACAGTATCATCAGCATACATTTCAGTGAAGTTCTTTCATATTGGGGTGGGGTGAGGGTGGGGTTCATCTCATTTAACTTCAGGTGCCCAAACGCTAGGCGCCTAATCCAAGACAGTGGATCTAGATTCCTGTTGTAGGCTATGGAGATAGAGAGGAACAACCAGAGAGTTATTATCCCATCTAAGATTGTCAGAACAGAGGACATATATCTGAGACCTTCCAAAGCTCTCATCAGTCCCCATTGCCTACAGTGACAGCCTGTATCACAAGTTTAGACTGAACGCCTATGTTCTCAACAATTAAAAGATGAGATGAATCTTGCACAGAGGATGTAGAGGTTTCCTGAGCAATAGCTGCAAGTGAACAGAACCCTTAAGCCGCGGGTAGGACTTCTGGTCCTGTGTGTGTAAGTGCTGCTGGCTGGCAGATCATGTTGCAAGTGTGCTTGGAAATTGTAATGAGTGCTGGTGTGAACAGAAAAGCTCCATAGCTGCTTTGTATGTATAACATAAAAGTGGGTAGCAAACCCAGACAGGCAGGACTCCTGGGTAAAGGAGAGACCCACCTCTGTCCATGTTGTGCCATTTCAATAGCTCTGCGAGCAGGGACTGGGGAGCCGCCATCTGTAACACTGAGGACCTCCATCGACTTCCTTTCTGGCCGCCGCTTCCCATGCCTGTTCAGCATTGGGGAGTCCACACGCTTCCTGGGGGGATCTTTATGAAAAGAAAATGCTGTCAGCTGAATTCGGCTGTGACTTACCTCAGACAGGTTGGTTAAATCCTCTCTCAACAATCTCACTCTCACACCTCCCCTGCAGAGACACGTATCTTTGTGATGGAGATGAACATTTGCAGCCTCTCCCTTCTTCCAAATTTGCAAACATAAGAGAAAACTTGTAATCCATCTACAGAGAGAAGGAGCGCTGCTACTGCCCTGAATGTACAAGGACTGTAAAACAGAGGTACAACTATAGCATAGCTTGCAGAAATTACCTTACAAAGCTGATCACAGTAATAACAAGATGACAGCATGGGCTATAGCACAAGCCGTTAGGCAGAGTATAAGCCATCTAGGGATCCTGTACCTGTACTCAGGTTGCTAGAGCCTGCCTTCCATGTCCCTGCTAGCTAGATTAAATGTGACACAGAGACATGAGTACACTCTCAAGTCAGAATTGCATTCTCCTCTGAATGCATACATTTTTTTTTGCATCTTTAAGATTAGATTTCAGGTTTTCCCCGCTGCTTTATGTTTTCCCTCCTTCAGCATTACAAATTAAACATACTCTTCTACTTGAGACGAATCTCCAACAAGAGCTACTAAAATTTATCTCAGAAGTCATCACACAGCTTTTACTGGTATAGTAACTGAAGTGCTTTACACTTTTTATTGTGTAACATTTCAATGAGGTATTGAAGTGCTACTTTCACTTTGCAGAGTGAAAACTGAGGTATAAGAATGAGATATTTAAAGGCAATTCATTCCTAAAGGTGCTGAGAAACATTTACTGATGTTCTGAGGAGGACCTAAATTGCTCTGAAAAGAGTCTGTAGATACCAAACTGCAGAACGTGCTCTTAGGTGACTAAGTAACCATACACACCTCCACGGTGAAGTAGGGAACCAAATGCAGACCTGCTGAAAAGTTTTATCACTTGGCATCTCTCATAGCATTGAAACAGTAAAAAGAAGGAAGGCAGAAAAAAGATAGAGAAGCATTTTCTTCTCTTTGGTTGGGCTATTTCAGTTCCCTGCCTCTATTTATAGACACATTTTTAATTTCAGTGGAGGATGACGACTAGTAAAAAAAGGCAGCCTTCACCCCTGCAGTTAGAAAGAAGCTCACAGTGCCCAGCCCCTAAGGCTTCTTCCTCTTCCTTTGTAAACCCAGCAATATTCCATTTGACAATTCTACCTCTACTACCTAGTCTGATGGTATTATTTTTATTATCCTGCCCTCCTCATGCCCCCCATCTACTTGCTTGTTCTCTGTCTCACATCATGTTTTTTAGAACAAGATCCCTTTAAGGCAGGGCTTATTCTTGAAACAATGAGCATGAACAAAGATGGCTTAAATGCAAATAGGCTAGTGATAACAGCTGACCCCATTACTGTATAACCCAAAAATTCTTTGTATTAATAGAAATAATTTCCCTGTTAAAATTTAATTAGAATAAAAACCAGTTGTATCTCAATCTATTTCAAACTATGTCCAGTAATAAAAAGGTAGTAGAAAATACTAGTGGGGTAATGACCTCCAAATTAGGAAAAATATATAGTGTGTAAAGTGAAGAGAAAAACAAAGGGAGATAAATCTAACAAAGCAGTTATACTGGGTGACTTCAGCTGCACACGTTAAGTGGCCAAAAGTAAGCTGGGGCAAGGTTTAGACATTTCTAACTCCAGTTTCTTGAAAAAAGTTCAAAGAATGAGAATGGATTCATCCCACAGGGCAACTGCTGGTATCAGAAGTGTGACTAGAGCCGAGTAACACACATAATGACGATGTAATTACGTTTGGTATCAACAACTGAGACTTGATACAAATTTTGCAGGGGGATATCAGACATTAGAAAGGAAAGTGGAAGAGTGCAATTTAAAAGAAAGGAAAAAGAAGAAAGAAGAAGGAAGATGAAGAAGGCAGTTAATGTCAAAAGAACGGAGATAAGTAAGCTCAGACTGCATCAATGTTAGTTAATAATAAAGTCTAAACAAGAAATATGGAAAAAGGCAAGAAAAACATTTTATGAACAGATATTTCAAAAGGCAATTTAATCCAAGCATGTTCAAAACAGAAGACTAGCAAACGGAAATTCAGCTGAGTGACACTTAAAAAAGTGACAGGACAAATATAAAGTGGACACTAAAAGAGAGGGAAGAAGAAATTTGAGGAGGAATTAGCTGAAGACTTGACTAACGATGTTTTGTACAGCCATCAGAACGAGAAAGCTTGAGAGAAGGACAGTAGTCAGAGGGACCATGAGGGAATCAACAAAACAATTAAGGAGGAGAAGGATATCGCTAACAAGCTAAATGGTTCTTTTATATTAGTCCTTGCTGCTTAAGATGCTTGAAGATATTGATTTCCAATCTATATTTTAAACTATCAAAGAGAGAGACTAAGCAAAAAGAGCAGGTGGTGAAAGACACCAATAAATTCAACAACAGCAATTCACAAAGGTGTGATGGAAAATACATCCAGAAGCTTGCATGAATGTGGTTGAGCTTCCAATAAAGGTATTTGATTCCTCTTTAAAATTGGCTACCATCCTACACTATACATGGCTGAAGGTAGCAAGTATTGTACACGTTTTTTAAAAGGGTCTGAGTAACAAACAAACAGGGTACACAGTCTGTCATCACTGTCAAGTCTGAATATACTAAAGAAATAGTTAAATACACAGCCATCCTGCCCTAAAGACTAAAGTGGTGTCATATAAAAGCAGTGGAAGATTTTCCAGAAGCACAGGAATTAAAAACAGGAAAACATCCGGTGTTTGCCCTTCTCTTCTTGGCCCTCTGGAAATATTTCATATGGAGGGAAAAAAAGTCCTAGTCTGGATCTGTGATAATTTTGGGGATGCATTTTCATTTTATTTCACATCAGAAAAGTTAAGCCATTCCTAAGGATTTTTTACAGAGCAAGAGAGAATGGTATAGGTAATGATCCAATTATAGAGGCATTGATGTGGAAGGCGGGAAATAAAGGTTCAACTTCTGAGTTTGGAAGAGGCACCTATATCCTATATGGCTATTCTGGCCCAATCTTTTGTTTTCTGGTTCCTAATAATAAGAATCTCAACCCCACAAAAGCCTTTTCCACAAGGAGACATCAGTCGACACTCATGCATTTTACTGAGAAGTTTCTCATTTATATGTTTTGAGGTAAAGAAAATGGAGCTGAACTCGAAAGACAGTGAAGGTAGCCCTTTCCTGGCCCTTTGAGAAAGCTTTATACAGCTGAAAAATGCAAAAGGGACACCAGAAGAGCCAGTCTGAGCTGGCCATATTTTTACTTGCACCCATCCTTTCTGAGATCTAACATGCAAAGAAAGAGGAAAAAAACAAAATACTCTGACATGCCTTTTTTTTTTTTTTTTTTTTTTTTTTTTTGTTTTTTTGTTGAAAATACATCCAGAAGCTTGCATGAATGTGGTTGAGCTTCCAATAAAGGTATTTGATTCCTCTTTAAAATTGGCTACCATCCTACACTATACATGGCTGAAGGTAGCAAGTATTGTACACGTTTTTTAAAAGGGTCTGAGTAACAAACAAACAGGGTACACAGTCTGTCATCACTGTCAAGTCTGAATATACTAAAGAAATAGTTAAATACACAGCCATCCTGCCCTAAAGACTAAAGTGGTGTCATATAAAAGCAGTGGAAGATTTTCCAGAAGCACAGGAATTAAAAACAGGAAAACATCCGGTGTTTGCCCTTCTCTTCTTGGCCCTCTGGAAATATTTCATATGGAGGGAAAAAAAGTCCTAGTCTGGATCTGTGATAATTTTGGGGATGCATTTTCATTTTATTTCACATCAGAAAAGTTAAGCCATTCCTAAGGATTTTTTACAGAGCAAGAGAGAATGGTATAGGTAATGATCCAATTATAGAGGCATTGATGTGGAAGGCGGGAAATAAAGGTTCAACTTCTGAGTTTGGAAGAGGCACCTATATCCTATATGGCTATTCTGGCCCAATCTTTTGTTTTCTGGTTCCTAATAATAAGAATCTCAACCCCACAAAAGCCTTTTCCACAAGGAGACATCAGTCGACACTCATGCATTTTACTGAGAAGTTTCTCATTTATATGTTTTGAGGTAAAGAAAATGGAGCTGAACTCGAAAGACAGTGAAGGTAGCCCTTTCCTGGCCCTTTGAGAAAGCTTTATACAGCTGAAAAATGCAAAAGGGACACCAGAAGAGCCAGTCTGAGCTGGCCATATTTTTACTTGCACCCATCCTTTCTGAGATCTAACATGCAAAGAAAGAGGAAAAAAACAAAATACTCTGACATGCCTTTTTTTTTTTTTTTTTTTTGGCAAGAGCTCAGGCAATTTGTAACTCTCATGAATGTGGTTTCTTCAAGCTGCTATTATTAAATCTGTTATTTTTCTTTGCTCTTCTTTGTTTCTGCAAGGCCATTGCTAATGGCTAATGATGAGATATTCATCAGAAGCATGATTGCTCTTAATTAAACCTTGCCCCATGTTCTCAGAGATACTGCTGGGAACAGAGGAGGTGGAAACCCCCCGTAGAAGGGGAAATACAACCTACGAACACTCAAAGAATAATGCTAAAAGAGGCTAAGATGTGCCGATCAGGCACAATGATACATTCAGAGTAGTGTTTCCCTGTTGGGGAACATTTTCACTCCCTGTACAAAAAAAATACAAGAGTAAAGCATAATATTTCAGTTAAAACCACGAAAATACTTTGGCATGTGGAAGGCCGATATATGATGTATTTAGGGCATAGCTACGTATTCACTGACACTCTGGATATGAAGATTCTAGAGTCACCTTGCTTCTTTTCTTATGACAAAAGCAGTTCTAAAACAAGACGATGGTGTCCTTACATTACAGGATAATCTGTTTGAGTCAAAAGCTGATTACTAAAGTGCTAGATGACAAACTGCACTGAGCAAGAGGCTTTTGACCACAGGACCTGCAGTTGGCACATCTACCCGTCTTCATCAGGATCCCTGCTAACATGCTCTCTGTAGCTCCATCCAGGTAAGAGCTTAAAAATTGCTGTGTTGACTAAGAATTTCCATCTCTTTGCCCACAGAAGAGATTTCCCTGCAGAATGATAGGGCCTGGAGCCTGGAACTTGGATAAGGTAATAATTCAGTGGAGTATTAAAAAACGTAAAGTTCAATATACCACTGCCCTGTATGTTTGTGAGATTCCAGGCTTTCCAGTGAAAATAAAGAGCACTTTACTTTTAGCCTTCCAAGTCCTGAAATACAATACCTGAAAATGACAACACTACTATGTAAAAATGCCATTTCATTGATAGAAGTGACTAATCCTTTATTAGTTGAACTTTTGTCACTCTGCACAACAAGAGTCGTTTACATAGGTAGTTCCTCAGGGAAGCAATTTTCCTATTGTGTAGATTAGTGAAGTCCTTGGTGATCAGCAGTACCCTAAAATACTATTTTTTCCAGGAATAAAGTGGTATCACCAGAGCTTTATAAGATACAGAATCTTACTGCATATTAAGCTTTAAAAATCTTTTAAGTTAGTCTAACATGTATACACTATAAACAGGTATGTAATATTATTCGTACTTTCAACAGTGTTTATGTTTACCTACAGAAAAGAGAATGTGTACACACATAACTCCATAGGGATGCAATACTACACAGTCTTACTAGCTTAAGTTTAGAAGCTGCACTTCTGCAAGACCGCATGTAGATTAGTAACTAGAAAATTCTGCCACTAAACTATACTGCTTCTAAACCTCATCTGCTTGTATAGATCCAGCTTGCGGGTCTATGTATTTTTTAAGATCTGGTTCTTGGATGTTTCTGCACTGAGACAGACACATCCAGAAAAATGAAGCCTTCAAGTTTAACCACAGAACAGACCTGCCTGCCTCAGGCTGAGGATTCTCATCAATGCTGTATACCATTTCAATGGGATGGTAGCAGTGATGCTAGGATTTGGGCATATATTTAAAAAAAAAGAACAAAAAAAAAAAGCGAAGAGGAACTACTTGAGATGGGTTCATGGTGACAGAGGTCATATCTGTAGTACCTATTTCATTTCTAGGGGGAAGATCCTCATCTTCGTGACTAGGATACCTCTCCTTCCGGTCAAGCAGAAGAAAATAAATCATTTTCTCTTGGTTTTCTCTGAAAAAAAGAAGAAAAAATCTTTACATTTGAAGAGAAAAAAAATTGACATGTAGATAAACGTTCTTTACAGTTATTCTAAATAAGCTGGAAATAATCATGTACTTGCCAGCTAGATACACAACCCACAAAGCTTTTGAGAATCTTACTGTCTCCAATGAGTAGCTACTGAGAAAAGAAAATATGATTCCTACAGCACACAACAGAGGCATAGGACAGATGAGGTAATATGTCCACAGGAATTCCAAACCAAGGGTGGCAGCACGACAGATCTCGGGAGCCTCTAAGTGCTCTTTCCACTATGTGCCTCTCTTAACCCCCCAGGAAATACACCAGCTCTCGGATGTAAACTTGAAGTAAATAAAAATTTGCCAACAAAGGTATACCCCACACAAATAAGAGCAATGACACCTCCCCATTCGGACTGCATGGTCCATCTTTTCATGAAGTGACCTTGCCTGGCAGCAAAGGAAAAGACAGCACCATGCCTCTGTTGCTGGCCACACTGTAAGCTTCTGATACACGTTGCAAGAAAGACTCAGTGCTTGCTTCCAACACCTCACTAGCAAATGAGTAGCCAGAGGGTGAGAAGTTGCTACTGGTCCCTCACAGCAAGATACGTGTTAAAGTGATCTCTGCCTCTCCCCAGATTTATAAGCATCCCAGCCCGTGGACACCCAACTGATATTAAGACTGAGCAAGTGCTTACTCTTCTGACAACAAGTCCTGTAAGAGTTTGTTTCGGTCACGGAAGCAGCCTAACGAGTGCATGCTATCTAACACGTCTGGATCAATGTCCTCCAAGGAAGGGAGAGAACGAATCTGCACCTTTCGAGGGATTGGTTGCTCTGGTTCTGGCTCGTTCTTACCCCCTCTGCAGAGGAAAGAAGATGAGAGAGAGAAAGGGGGCAGGGAAAGTAGGAGAGAAAAGAAACATGAGTCACAAATGAACCTGCACTCTGAAACACAGCCTGCAGCAACAGATGGAAATAGATTGTTAAATTCCCACTGAGAAACCAGAGCTCACAACCAGGCAGATATTCTTTTCAGAAGAAACTGCTGTGAAGGCTGAGAGTGACCAGCACCTTGTGGATTTAGGTCTTTAATGAGAAATGCCTGCATTCAGTCAGAAAGGCAGTAGGAACTTCACTTACCAGTGCCCTCATAATTTAAGCAGCTGTTCAGCATCCTAATGCCAAACATTTTATAAAACACTCTGTGGTTTTAGAGATGCTGTCTCATCAGCAGGTCAGACCTCAGGCTACTAGGCTGAAAAGTACAAGCTGAACGATTCCCTTTCAAAGAACAAACAGTCACTGTTTTTTACCAATTCTGGTTACAACTGGCATTGGAGCAGTTTCTTTCTTTAAAGCTTCCAATGTGATTAAGAGAACTCAGTGTTCCAGTCCCCACTTGACACACTCTAAAGGATTTTTGGGGAAACCAGGCTGTTTATATACACACCCAAATACAACAATCTCTGCTTCTCTTCAGACATGCAAATTTGAAAATTGTGGTCCAGGTGTGATGCTCCAGGTCAGTGGCAGACCAAGGAATACACCATTAGCAGTAGAGCATCTTACTCTAAGAAGTAGTTAACACAGGCTTCCTGCATAATTATCTCATCCCATTCACTAGACTCAGGAAATATTGATTATTCATTGCAATTAAAGGCCCTGACTGTAAGAAACAGAGTATCTAAGGTGTCAGGGTATCTGCAACTGACTCCATGATATATATTGCAGGCACCCTGAACATCCTTTGATTTTGTTTAGGTAGGAGGTGAGCAATTTATGTAAACTCTATCCACCCAAAGACATGGGTTTGGCCATGGTGCTATTTTGGTTGGAGAACTGTCTACCCCAAATCTTTCCTGTTTCTCAGTGGATGCTTTGTGCAACGCTGAGGTTTTCCTACTTTGCGGGTGAGGTTCTCCCTTTCCTTTATGTGATGTAAATGTGTGACTGTTGGGTCCAGGCTTGGGTTGGTTCCAGGTTGCCAGGTAGGCAACAGGAATTGGGAATATTTAAACTGCATCAGATGTCAGCGTTTGCTGCTTACAGGGCTGTGTTTGCGCAAGAGATTCTTCTTTTTGATGATAAAGTGAACACAACTTGTGAACTTACTCACACAACTTAAAATGCTCTGGGCTCAGATGTGAGCTGTCTGCACAGAAAAAGGAGCTCCAATTCAAATGCATCTAATTTTTCTTGGGTAGGTTAGAAAGCCACTCTAATAGGATCATATGCAGGAGCTCAAGGTCTCAGCCAATGTACCAAAAGGAGAGCCAATGCAGACTATCTCCTCCAAGGTAAGAAGGCAATACTAAGTCGTTGCAGCCAGGGCTCTGGTGCTGGGACAGAGCAGTTAGGTGCTACACCTTAACCATAGGAGATTGCTGGGTGCTACTTGCAATTTATTTTTAAGGAAGTTAAAATGCAGTTGTGAGGCATCTGCTCTGTTAACCATGTTTGTGAAACATCATTTGCAGAAAGACTCCTCAGAAATTTTCACTTTATCTTCCCTTGAAACAGTGAAAATGTGCTCAACTCTTCCTGGGTACATGGAGTCAGACTCTCGCATGTGTTACATGGGTCATGACAACATGGGTCAGATCCCACTTCTCTTACACTGAGCACTTACACACACCTTGCTGAGTTTTGTTCAGTTTAGGGGACTGGAAGCAGAATATATAGGAAAGAGACAGAATCTGTTCCTTGAGATTCGCTCTTGTGTGTCCACCACTAAAACACAGCTTCTGACTCCTCCTTGGAGTCTCTTAGAAGTGGCTATGTCACCTGCAATGTCACCGTGGTCCTGAATCTAAGGGCTAGATTAAAAAATCCTTGTTCAACTAAAGAAAAATCTTATTCATTGAGTGCCCTGTCTTTAAGAAGTAGCTACTCCTACCTCTCAAGATCAGGATGTAGCTCTCAGCAAGTAGTAAGTGATGATCAGATTATAACCTTAAAGCCAGTGATGACATTGCCATTGAGATAAACTCTTGCAGCATGGACCTTTGAACAGCAGATCATGAGTGGTTTTGTTTCTTAATGTTCTGGAGTTCACTTTTTAAAAGTATTAACTTAATTAATCATTCACTATGTTACAAGCAGATGTCCTTAAGGTAATTTAAAGAGATTAAAAAGAATTACTGTTTTTGAAAATTTCCAGAAAATCTGGGTTTTCTACAAGTTGTCCAAGTGTAGAGCAGAATATCACTTGCAAGTTTCTTCTATATCAATCAGTGGCGGGAGCCCGTTCTATAGAGCACAGCTTACTATCTTCTGTGCATGGAAAAGTGGCTTTCCCTTATGCCCTGCACCTGGTCAGCCTCAGACACAGTCAGGAATTTTCACACCTCCTCATCAGGTACAAGCAAAATCTGCAAAGTGACACCTCGTCATTTGGCAACGCCATTCAGTGCTTCAGGAAATGAAAATCACTGGGTCTTGGCTGTGATTGGCAGGACTGTATTGCCCGTTCCATTCTCAGTCTAGCACAGAGGGACAAATTTGTTGCGTTTCAGCCCACATAGACATCAAACAATGTCACACAATGAATACTGCAAATCACGTATATTTTTTAAAGGCTTGCATGAATGTAATTGCTGCTTTAAAACCCATCCTCTTTTGTGAGGATTGGTGGATACAATGGCTGCGATTCCAGACCAGGGCAGACGTTTTCAGTCTCTCCATGAAACTCCCTCATGAATTTCACCAAGATGCACATTTGCATCAGTGCAAAGCAAAGGGGAACCCGTACAGTTATTCTTTTCCTGATTTTAGTAAATTTGGTATCTTCACAACTAGAACAATAACTCAGTATTACAGGAGTATGTATTTACCATAATAGCTAATATTATATGCCTTCTTGCTTTATTAAAGAAAATGTGAAAATAACTGCAGTTTATTTCCTGATTTATGATAACCTGAGCTTGATGTAAAAATAAATTATTTCAATTAAAAAGGCTTTAAAAGCTCACTCAATTAATTTGGGTGGAAGAGCAAAAAGAACTGGAGGTTGGTGATGAAAGGTTTCTCTTTGGTTCCTTTTTTCCTTTTTTTAGGCTTGTGAAACATGATTTCACCTTTCAATACCTCTTTACCTGTCTGCCTAGTCTGCAATTAAATCTTTTCCTCAGTAGATAGTAATTTGAAGAATTAATTGAAATCACCTATATGTTCTAAGTACAACTTTCAGGTCAGTAACTTATATATGACAAAGAATTAAGATTTTACATACAACAGTATAAATTAAAAATGAAGGATGTGAGCAAAACAGCCATAGAGTAAAAACACTTAAAACTCCTTCGTCTGTGTCAGCATCAATATTTCCAGGCAAAATAAATGCAAAGAGGCTGTGAAACATTATCAGATGAAAGCAGTTGCATTTTGGAGGTGGGAGGGTTATTCACAGACTAAATTTAGCCAAAGGAGGTTAACTTCCTTAGGTCAATCCACGGCCACTATAGAGAAAATGAGAGACAGGCTCAAAAAAAGAGCTACTTTGAGCAGAATTTTTGTTTTAGGCAATTTGAAGAGATTTCTGGAAAAGCCTTTCTCTCTCTGCATTGACTACACGAGGAGTCTAGGGGAGACTTGCTTCTGCAAAACTGAGCTTTAACTTCTGAAAACAGCCTCAGATGCTATTTCCATTGGGGTAAAAAACTGTTGTGTCGGTCATCAGAGTCTGACCTTCATCAAGAAGTACATGAAAATGTTAAAATGCTCATGTCTGCAGAGAAAAAAATCTTCAAATTCTAAATCTAGAATAAAGTAATGAAATAATACCTGTCTAATTGTGCATGTGAACCTAGGACAACAGTCCTTTAACAAGTGAAGATTTCCAGACAAAAATTTTGAGCAGGGTCAGAATAATAATATAATTGATCAATGGCATTTCATTTTACTTCCTATTACATTTCTAATCAAAGCACAAGGAAAGTCAGCTGATTTCACTCCATGAAGAAACAGAGGGGATCAGCTGATGTAAACAGCATTTACTAGTGAGACATTAGAGGAGGATTATTTCAGAAGTCACAATTAGAGATTTTCCCCCCTCCATTTCTCCTACATTTATCCATGAGAGTTTAAAAAAACCCAAATACTTGCAGCAAACAACACTCCAGTCCTTCTTTGGTTTAAAAAGGTGCCATGTCAACTGGTAACTGTAGAGAGAATCAAAAAGCCATGGGCAGAATGCTGCCACCATTTCAGGTTAACTAAGAAAAAATCATGTTATTCAACAAACTGTTGAATGCCGCCCTCAGGTCCTGTCGAAGTCAGATAAATCCAGAAATGAAGACTGCCCATAAGATAGAATTAAAGAAAACAAAACAAATCAAAACAAAGGTTCTTTTTCTTTTTTTCCTGGTGACAGGCTTAAATATCAGTTCATATCATCCTCAAATATTTCCCAAGAGCAATGATAGGATTATGAAGGCAGGACTTTCCTTATCACCCACCAGGGGAACCTGCAGGTATGCTGACCCAGAGAAGCATGTATCAAAGCATCATTTCCTAGTTTAATATGTGAAGTATTCTCCTTGGTTTGATTAGGTTATCATTGGTATAAAAAAAATAAATTGTTATTTACGTAGATTTCTTGAAATACTATTAAGGCTACACAAAGTGCAAGGTCACTTTTAAAAGTCATCAATCTTCCTTATCCCCAAACCACTAGACAGGAGCATACTTTTCTCACAGACCTCTTGTTTCACTGTCAAGACTGCTGCTTTTAATCAAGTCACAGAACTACTCTCACATCAACAGGTTACAAGGTCAGAAGCAGCCTCTTAGCTTGCTGTGAAGAAGGAGTAGGGATTATGAGACAGAAAAGCTCTTGTTCACAGGTGCTTACTTATCAATATCATCATTTTTGTTTCTACTTCAGAGAAAAGCCAAGATGCCAAGAAGGAATAGACGAAAGCTTTCTTGTCAAAAAGGTATTACAAGGGATTGTCTGTAGCACTTGGAGAACAAACTAAATATGGCTGTTAGTTGGGGTTTTTTTTTGCTGATCACTTGCAGGTATCTTCTTAACACAACAAGTAGCTGGACCAAATGACTTATTTCAAACAATTGTCAGCCACTGTATAAAAAGTGCCTGGCTTTATATATATATATATATCTGAAATTATATGAGTAGCAAAGGGTAAAAACCCCCCAAACATTAGACACCTTTCTGTCTTCTGCCCCTTTCTCCACCTGTATGAAAGCTGCTTTCAAACTTCAGTCTCTGTATCCAGAGAGATGACTAGGATATAAGCTCCCGTAACAGAACCAATAATGAATGCATGCAAAAGTGAATTTAAGAAGTGTTACTTACATATACCATATGTGTTTCTGAATGTGTTCTAGCTGTAAAGGAAAAGAAAACAAGGAATAGTGCTGTAAAACAGAAAAGGTAACTTGATAAGACATCCTTATGCAAGGCTTATTCAAGTAAATCCAACATTCCAGATATGGATCTGTGTAAACAACAGGAACTGGAAGTGACACTATAGTTCTGGACTTAAGGAATCAGTCAGGAGCAAATCCCAGGAATATGTATAAGTACAAGGATTCACAGGAAAGTGTTTCGGCAGTTCAAGTTTTTCCCTTCCTAAGCCCTTCCCCCCTATAACCTAACTGAAGCTAACAAACTGCTCCTTTCTGTATGGGCATAATAGCTGATTCTTTATACCTACAATTAATTTCTAGTTTTGTTTTGGAAAAAGAGAGAGAAGGAAACAGAAACAGGTTTGAATAAATAACACAAATAAGCAAAATAAATTGTGCATGTGTGATATGACCTTCTGCCAGGACTCATTCTTGAATGGGTTCACATTTATCATTTAAATCTAAAGACCAAGTAGAATAAGGTTCTATGTCAAAACAATACCATTTATTGTTTCAGTACCTGAACACCAGATTGCAAATTTCTTTTGCTTCCCTCTTTCCTGTTTCATACATGAGCATTTTACTACGTAATGGAGGACTGATCAAAGCTGAACAGTGTCTCCTTGTCCATCTATGGAAGGCAGATGCTAGCAAATGTTACACGATGACCACGTTTTCCATAAATACGGGGAAAAGAAAGTAAAACCCTTTTCCCAAGAGAAATTCTTAACAGTAGAGAGAACACACTGTTCATATGACACACTTACAGCAGAACCTTCCTAGTCTATTTCTGTTGGTTTGTGGGTTTTTTTAAGCATCATCACAGTAGAAAAGAACTTTTCATAGTTGTCCAGGGATTATTCATTATCCAGACAATATTTCTCATATTCTTCATTATGAAGCACCTTTGTACATGCAGAACAATATGCACACTCACTGCACACAGGTTTGCGTTTGCGCAACACACAGGTGAGAGGCAGGGGAGAGCTGGAAGGAAATGCAAATGCTAACAGCTATGAGATGAAATCACAGACCCATTAAACTGGTCAGGAAGAACGGAGACAGCTGTCCTGCTCTTATTACTTTCCACTTCAATTCCAGAATAATGAGAATCAGAGAGGAAAAAAAGAAAGAAAAAAGGAATGACAAACAACAAAATCTCAGAGACAGAAAGTAGGTGTTTGCCACAGAGTGCAAGGAATAGGAGACCTCTGTGCTATGGAACAACAGCTCTGTATCTGGGAAAACAGGAAGATATGAGGTCGGCTCTATATGAGATCATTTTTTAAGTGAGACAGAGCTATTCCTGAAAACAAAGAAACAAGGGAATACAGCTTCGGAAAGCATGACAGGAGACTGGAGGGATCAGTATGAGAGACAAACAGCCTCCTTTAAAACCAAGACTGTACCAATGCTGCAATCAGAGGTGCAGTTGGTACTTGCATATCTAGCTGTCTTCTAACCAGCCCAGGTGCTGGGTGCACACAGTCCCCCAGCTGTGGCCTCAGCTCTGCCACAAGAATCACACACAGTCATTTCATCTCTGCACTACTGAAAGAAAGCTGGAGAATTCCTCAGACCCTGCCATCTCCCCCGACCAGCTAAACTCAAGGAGATAAGATACACATTATGGGTGTTCCCCTAACAGCCTGGAGGTGCAGCCCTCTTCCTCCTGGTTCTTTCCAAGCTGAGGTACAACCACAGAATATAAGAAGAGCCTATTTTGTACAGTTTCCATGGGACAGGATTTTAGCATGGTTACCTATCAGGTCCATAGTACTGTGATCTGCTAAGGAGTGTACTGTAATTTACCAAGTCTACTTGGTAAAGTGTGCTTGGTAAAACTACCCTATGAGATGCGTATCTACTCACTATTTTCATATATACCACATGGAGGGTTAGAGACATTAATGATTTTGGACAAGATGCAGATGACACAGCTAAGCGATGTCCAAGCCTCTTTCATGCTTGCTTCTCCTGCTGCATTTTCTGTCTCCATGGGTCACATTGGTTTTTTGTGCCTGCGATATGCACAAATGCCAAGGCAAAGCAGATAACAGCACTTCATTTTTTGAGTCGGAGAGGGGGAAGAAAGGAGGGTCACCAGTTCATGTCTTAGTCACAGAAACTCTGGGCTCCCTCAAAGAAGATGTCAAAGACAAATCCCGTCTACCCATCCCTGCTGATCAATCTCCTTCAAGCTAATGAACCAACAGCATTTTACTGAAAAAGAAGCCCCGTAGCATCCTGATATACATTTGAAGGTGCACGAGAGCTCTCACAGCTGCTGTTTACCTACACATCTGCCATTCAATCCACATCAAAATCATTGCTGTGAAGTACGCTGGGATATCCCAGATATTAAAAGTATTCCACGAAACCAGCTTCTATTCTGATTCAAATGTAATTGCATTGAAATGTTATTACAAGTGTGCTTGCTGCTGCCAACATCTTCACTGCTTTTTTAAAGGTAATTAATTAATGCTTTGTTGCTTTTCATCTGCATTAAAGTGACAGGAAGGTTATGGGAGGGCGACTGGTTTTGAGAAGAAGTCTGTATGCTTTTTACTATGCAATGCAGGGGAGGGAAATACACAGTGGGAGCTAATCTCACTCCTCCTGCCTTCATTTAAAGACAATGTTTAAATGCATTTAAATGACGAAGGCATTTAACAACCCTTCCCAGGGGGTTCTTCTTGCTGTTTGCACATGAGTTTGCCAAATTTAATGCCATTTTATGGAAGTTGTAAAAATGTTGCTTCCTAATATCTCCTATCCACTGCAGGCATCTCATGACGTCATCTCTCAAACAACAAACACGTTCAGATCCACTGCACGTGCACAGGCAGAGGAGAGACTTCTGCAAGCTAAATTGATGTACTGGAAGGAGAGGGGGGATTCCTTTATCATGGTTTTATGTAAAAGTACTTCCAATATGTATTAAACTTGTACACTAAAATAGTATTTAGTAGCCCCGCTTAATGATGAGACCCCCATTGCGACACCCATTGCGACCCCCAGAGCTGTACAAGCTCACCAGAAAAAGAGGTCTTCTCCCCCGAGGAGCTTACATCTGAATTCTAAGGCAGGGAACTACAGATGGAGACAGACAGGCAGATGGAAAACAAGACAGCGTTGTCTACATCCTCAGCACTGAACTCAGCAGAGTGGTTGCCAGGCTAAAAAGTTCTGACCTGAAGAAAAACTTTCTTAAAGTCTGTGGTTATGGATGAGGGCTTCTGGGCTTGAACTCATGTCAAATTTCAAACCTCCCTGTCCAGAAACAGAACAGAATCAAACCCATCTGTGCACTAAATCAACCCACACCTCAGATGAATCTTCTTCATTCAGAAGATCCTCTAGTTTAAACCTCTTTAAACCTACTGTATAATGTCAAGATAGAGGCTCTTCCTGACCAAAGGATTCAAGCCGGCAGTGCAAACAGCACTGGTAAAACCATTATCTGTGTCAGTAGTAGCAGCCGTACTACAGCAGCCTCTGGGGACAAGGACAAGGAATCACTGTGCTATGTGCATGGTGCCTGAATAGGCCTTTGGCAGCCAAAAGCTTACAGCCTAAATACATCAACTGGACAATTACCTCCATTCTACAGGTGGTGGAGTGAGATAATTTAAATGATGTGATGGGCACCTTAACTATAAGACCTTCTAGAAAAAGGATGGAGGAATCGGGGTGTGTTTTCCCTTGTTCATTTTTTCAACATTGTTTAGATACTCCAGTCCATCATTAGCACACATTAGACACAAGAAAAAATAATATCAAACAGAGAGCAGAGAGGAGATTCTGAAAGTGCATGTAATTTAAGTTGGATAATATCCAGGGACAGGTATTTCAGACTATGTGGAGACCCAACATGGAAGATGAGCCATTCTACTCTGGAAAAAAGTGTCAACACTGAAACATTAACTGCTTTACCAGAATACCTTACTCTGCAATATCTGCTCTGATCCACCTTGCTCCACAAAGTTTAGATAATGCTCATCCAACATTAAAGGGAAAGTGGATCAAAATCTCCTTACTCTCTCCCCTTTGCCTTTGTGTTTCTGTAGAAATGCAAATGGATTCCCCTACAGGAGCTGTAATTCTCTGCTGCAGAAATGCTGAATCATTTGAAACCTCCAAGGAAAAAAATATCCACTTTCCGAAGAGCACATAACTAGAAGAAACCTCATCTTGCAGTACTGCAGGCACCGAGAACACTCATTCTCTTCTGTAAACCTTCTCGTACTTAAAACTAGTTCAGTCTTCCCTCCTGACACTACTCCTACTAGAAAGCTGTCCCAGAACCCTACTAATATGGCTAAAATGCTTCTTCTCATTTCTAGCCTACTTTAATGTAAGGCCATTTGACATACATTTGTTTTTGTGCCAGTATCTTCCTTTAGTTTAAATAATCATTCTCTCCCTAATAATTACCTCTAATGAACATGCAGACAACCAGTACAACCTTTCTCAGACAACACCTACGTAGACTAAGTAGAGCTCTTTTAGGCTGTGCTATTCAGACAGGCTCTCTCAAAAGCTGACCACCTTAAGTACTCATTCTTTTTTTGATTTCATCTTCCCTGAACATGGGTTATCACAAATATGACCAGCAGGTAGGATCAATTTTTGCAGTCTACCAAAAGAAAAACATGGATTCTTTTATTTTAAAGCATGTTTAGTAAAACAGGCCCAATAAAGGAGAGTGGTCAAGGACATACCACTAACTATGAGTATTAACAATATTCCACTAAGATAACATAAAGTTCTTTCCATATACAAAGAAAGGTAATGCCTACTTCTTAAGGCAGGAAAGGGCAAGCAACAATAAATCTGAGTACCCTCCTCTCCATTAATCCTCTCAGGCTTTAACACTGAAGCCGAATGATGACAGTTAAATGTGAATGCTAGTTCTGCTTTTGTTGATCATTTTAACAGATGGACTGGAGAAGGTGTGGGTGTGCTGTGAAATGGCAATTACTGCAGGGATGGAAATGCAGTTGGATGAGAAGATACAAATCAAAAAGGGAACAAAGCAGATAGGGGAAGGGAAAAACGAAAGAAAAAAATTCTGGTGACCTTACATTTCACTGTATTTTTCTGCTGAATTCATCAGGGAGATATTGAGCAAATGATCAGTAACAGTAACAGCTACATCTGTACTTATTGTACCCAAGCCACAATTTTGCTCAGATCTTTGTATAGATATCAAATTGATTCAAGTGAGATAGTTTCTAGGAATAGAGGCTTCCAAATAAACCTATATTTATACTTTTTTTCACAGGACACAGCTAAAATAGAATTCAGATCTCTCCTCAAAATGAACTACATATTCCCAGCTCCTGTGCAGTAAACAAAGAGCTCCCTTCTGCTTGGCAATCTCAGCAACCGGCATGCTAACAGCATAGAAAGGGAAGTGTGACAGCAGCAGGGACAGCAAATGGAGAGACCCTAAAATAATGAAAATAAGATTGCAGCTAATAACAAAGAACTATCCTTTTTTCTTCCCAGCTCTCAGCTCTTGAATATATTTTATTTCGAACTCTTATTCACAATTCACTGGTCAGTGCCTGTCAATAATTATCTGATCTGTTTTTTTTTCCCTCCCCAAGGAAATAAAAGCTTCATTCTGATCAAGAAAAGGGGAGGAGGGGAAGGGGTCACTCTGGGAACTTGATTTACCTTAACTGTTTTCTCTCTTACGCAAATACATTCTCTGCTGTATTCCACAAGTCAAAACATTTAGGGACTATGCTCTATGGCAAAACTCAGCCAGAACAATTCAAAGATCTAACGTCTGATAATCTGCTCCCTGGCACACTCAAACCATCAGAAAAATCAAACAACAGAAAAACTGTTGTGTTTACCTTAAAGAAAAGAAACTAAGCTAGAGAGAGACTTGGTGACTTCCTGAGTCATGAAGAACAGCTGTCTCATGTCTCAGGGTACAGCCCTAACCTCTGTAGCGTTCTTTCCATGAAAATACTTGGAAAAATATTATTTCTTTCTTTAAAAATCTATTTTAAAAATACCTTTTAAAGTGTCTCATGTTTTGTTATTTTTTTCCAATCAGTGCTACTTACACACTGCAAGTGTGATGGCTACTGGGTTTGCAGAAGTAAGGATACTAGTAATAGCATAAAGAACTTTTCACCTACGTCACCAAGTAGAGCATGAGCTGGTTTTGTAATGAATGAAAAAAACCCAGCTGCAGCTGTCAGGTAATGATGTAAAGAGAGTTGCGAAGGGAGTTTCAGTTCACTTCTTATCAGACAGGTGTCTGCATCCCAACAGCACCATCACAGCTGGCACAGACTGATGCTGTTGTTAGCAATCTCAGCAGAGAGGCCAAGCACTGATCTGAGAGTTTATTTATAAATATTTTAGCAGACTGAAGAACCAGGAGGAGTTTTAAATTTACATTTCTTTATACATACTCCCACTCAGAATCTGTGAGCTTAGTAAATCTGTATAAAATCATCACCAGAGCCTGACAATAGGATTTACAAGGGCAATGTACCCATAAAGACAGAAGCCTCCACTGACAAGCAGGCAATCTTGCTTTCCAAAATGATTTTAATTGCTAATTTTTTTTAATTCCCCAAAACATTAACACAGTGTTAATGAAGGATACAATCACTACACAGTGCTCACCCTTGCAGGGTCTCTGTTGTAGTGATGGGATGTATCCTAGATGCAAAGAATCTGAATGCAAATGGTGCTGAATGCCAGGAGCTCAACACTGTGGGCCTAATCGTTCTCAGGACCACAGAGCACAAGATGAAAGTGCAGACAAGAAGACACTTGCTCTGAAGGCTGCTAGAGGATAATGCAGAGCACAGGCAAGATAGAATATAATGCAGGTTGCGTGGCATGAAGTGAGAAGACATCACTTTTGTCAGAAATGTAAGAATACCATACTCTGTCTAATAGCAAAGCTTCAAATAAGTCTAACAGTTTTCACCTTCAAACAGTTAGATCATGTCCCCAACAAACTGCTGTACCAGCCAGGAGAGCCAGACAACTCAGGTGGACTCCAAAGTGTTTAATGGGCTAGTAGGCACTGTGATGATGTTATGAGGAATTTGTTCTAAATGCCCACTGTTACATATGAATGAGATTATGAAGCTAAAGAAGAGACACAAAGGTAATCTGCCTTCACGATTCAAAAGAGGAGGTAACTAACTTCTTTCCCAAGACTCGGCCAACTGCACTCATTCTTTGCTCAGGAGGAAACACACAGGAGTGGCAGTAAATCACAAGTTGCCTTAGTTATTCAACCATAAGCCTTGCTCACATGACTCGCAGCAAATGCCTTCTTACCGTGAGACGTTTCGAGGCATCCACTTCAATCATCCCCCGCAAAAGGTTCTGACAGTCTGGGGGGATAAAATGTGGCATGTGGAACACTCCACGTTTCACCTTCTCCAACAGTTGCCGCAAGTTGTCGTCATCAAAAGGCAGGGCACCCTGCAGGGATGTGACAGAGTGGTGGATGGGAGAGATGAGCAAAAGGGAATTGGAGTGGGCAAAAAAAGAACAGCCAAGATAAGCATGACGAGAAAATTGAAAAGAGGAAGTCAGCACATAATAAATTATTATAAAAAGTGGAAAAACATTTTATCCATTGAAAATAAAGCATTTCTTAGTGCTGCTGTATTTTCTCCAACATAGGAAACAAAACTGAAGACACAGGTTTTTTATTAGACCTTTAATTAGAAAATGACTACCAGTATAAAACATAATACAAAATATGAAATTGCCTTTCCAGGCAAATTCACCAAAGATGCATGGATTCACTTAAATTCAGCTCGAGCTTTTGATCTGCTGGTAATCCTCCTGGGCATACTTTCACAGCAGCAATGTTTATCGTCTCCTTACTTTTAATCTTCCTGAGACACATTTATTGCAGACATTGAAAAGGAGGTGAACAGCATTTGAGAGACTTTCAGTAAAGAACACCCTCTTTCTGATGGAGCAGCGAAATGACTCAGCTGAAAGAAATCCTAACCAACGTTAGCCTTTGGAAGCAGCAGACGTTCTACCTGTTTAATATATTTCATCCAGTTCCCATGCTGTGGTCAGGTCATCAGTTCCTATTGCTTCCCTACTGTAGCTCACTTACATGAATGGTTTGAGGTTTTTTCAGCTGAAATTACATTTTGAATAGATCATCAGCTTCCCACAAAAAGCAGCAAAAGACCTATCCTTGCTGCAAGGACAAAAAGGAAAAACAGAAGTTGAAATCTTTTGGATAACTCCACCAACTGAAGCTGATATCCTTTTATAGCAGGTCTGCACCTTCCTAGATGTTCTCACTTCCTTCTCTCACCGCCTAATTCTAGTAGGTGCTGAGCTTCCTTGATTTCCAGGATGGTTTGTGGGAAGCTGCAAGCTGTCAGCTGCTGTGATAATGAACCTTTAAATTGTCAATTCTGGCACTGCTCTTACTACGGTGAGTAGTGCATCTTTACAAGAAATCCTGTGTCTATGGTTTATGGAGACCAACGGCTCCATTTACAGAAGCCTCAGAAAGACCACCTGATGGCAACTGCTACTGGGCGCTATTTAATGTTTGTTCATTCAAGTGGCCTTGAAGAGAGAGACTCCTTCTATTCTGTAACCAGTCTCCCGAGTTACCTACTTTTTTCCTAACCATTCCAGACTTAAAGGAAAATCAATTCTGGTAGTTCAGTACTTTGGCAATTTAAGCCATGATGAAGTCAGCAAGGCTGCTTTGTGGCATTTCCTGAAGGTAGCAACTACAGCTCTTTTATTACAACCACCTGCTACTATAGTTTGAGAGTTTTTGTAGGGTTTGTCCTGACATAATTAACTAGAGAGCTCTGCACTCTCCACCAATAATAGGCTTTTTTCAATTGTTTTGCAAGCTCATGTATATATGCAGGAACAGATGAAGATTCAGCAACAGAAAGACACCAAATGTTGACAAAGAATCCTCCTGAAAATGAAAAGTACACTCCTCCAAATCCTAACCATCTCGACACATCCTCTCTTCTAAATTCAAGAAGTTATATTAAGAACTCATTATACAGTTGTATTTTATCAGCCATGAAAATAGCTGCTCAGGAGCAATAGATGACCAGGTGCTATCTAGTGAGATAGTTAAAATTCTCCCCTTGCAACATCACAATAAAATTCTAAAACTTCAAAAATGACTAAAAAGAAAAAAAGAGTAAGATTGGTTACGGTTAATTAAAGCATCATACTGAGATTACTTCAAGGTATTTTATTTTGGACCATTAAAAAAACTGCCTGCATATTTCTTGAAACAAAAATCCTTTAAAATTTTCAAGTGTTTTAAACAAAAATAATGTGCAGAATCTAACTCTGATCGTACATTGTACAAATACTTTTGTCAAAATAAAACATTTAAGTGAAGTACTTAAATGTTTACTAATAAAAGTACAAGGACATCAGAATTTGACTTCAGGCTTGTTATTTTATAATTGTAGGTGATCAGTTGACTATTACAGATATAAAAAAATTAACAGGCACATAAAATCTATTCTCACATACAGTATCCTATCTGCAAATGCTATATACTTATATGAACATTAAATATATTTTCCTACATTATACTATGGAAATTGATAACAAATGCTAACCCTATCTGCCTTCAGCTGGACATCCAATTGTTGTATGTTTAGGAGGATTATATTACCACTGCAAATCGGAATAAATTCCACAGAAAATTGAAACTTTGATCAAAAGAAGAATAAGTTACAAGTTACCACACTTTGAATCCTAAAGAAAGTATTACTGAGCCAGATGGAAACTAATTTAAACTTTGTACTACTGGCTCATTTTTATATTCCCAAGTGTACCAAATTAAATGTAGCTCAATACTTGCATGAAACAAAACTGTTGCGCTCAAATCTTCTCTTGATAAAACACTGCAGTTAATGTATGCATATACCTACTAAAACACATGTATACACATTGCAGAAAAAAATGAGTATTTCCCAAACCCAGCCATATTTTGATCCTGTGAAGGACAGCTTATTTGACACACTCTGTATCCTGAAGTTTTAACCCTGCACATCCTTTCCAGTCAAAAAATGTACTGCAATATCACAACACAGTAAAGAGCATTTATGGAGACAAGTTTTTGATGCTTGTCTATGCTCTTCTGTGCAGGGCAGCAGCATTTCAAAGAGGCAGTGAAATATTCCTCATGCTTTTCCTTTGGGACTGATGTAGAAATAAGAGGAAAGGATGCAACTGAGAGATATAAAAATAGGGGAACTAAAAAAACCCATCTGTACATGATGTCAATAAAATCACCATTAAATACAGCAGCATTTTTGATTTTTCTTTTCTTTTTAAAGGATAGTGCAAGGAAGATGACTCACCACTAGCAACGCAAATAAAATGACTCCGCAGCTCCAGACGTCTGCTTTCCTTCCATCATATTTTTCTCCCTGCGCAGCAATGACACAGAAGTTCAAAAGATTGCTCACTAGTAAATGAATTACTTATCCTTGAAGAACAAGAGAGGGGAGAATGGGAAACCCCACATTTCAACCACATTCAACCACTTGCTTCCCAAGATGGCACTCCCAATTAGGAGGCCATGACACATGACTTTTTATGAACATCAGTTTACAGTTGTATTTGGGATTTGCAAGAACAGGCTCAGAAGTGGGGAGTAGGGTAACAATGGTTGACAACTCACAAATGATTAGATGTGGCACCTAAACAGTGTCAGAGAAGCATTAAGGATGTCAAGAAGGTGTTTGTCTCCCCCCTGGTTCTTCAGGGAGCTTGTCACCAGTCACATCATTTGCAAACTCATAGTACTGTCTGGACAGTCTCTTCTGTATGCTTTTTGGTTAGCTTTACATTAAAGATATGTTTTGAAAGAAGGGAGTCTTGGCCACTGAAATCTTGGATACTTATTTTCAGAGGACGAAGGGAGGGTAGAGGGAAAGGATAGTTCGTATCATTTAACGGAAACCAACATCACTGACAGCCAACCCTGGTTCTTCTACCGAAATGACAGCTACATCAGAGGCAGGAAAGCGTAGGGGACTGCATCCCCTGGGTGGAAAGATCAAGTTAAACGAGGGCACTGTATTTCTGTCTGATCACGTGGCACAAAGGGTACCTGTGAGAATAACACACGATCATTTCATGTGGTCGATGTGGCTTGATTCAGGGCTGAGCCAAACAAACAAAACCATAGTTACGTTCCTTGTGTCCTTTCCAACACTGTCTGCCTTTTTGACAGATTTCCTGTACAGAAGGTTGCATACTTGCAACGAGTGACACTTTAAAAAATGTATTTTTACACAGTAATGTAACCAACTTACCCGGATGACTTCAGGGCAAGCATAGTGTGGTGATCTGAAACACAAAATACAGTCAAATGAGCATGTAACAGCCTGGTATTTATGGATTACATGCATTCTCATTTTGTTTAGCAGAATCATGATTGGCTTGCCTATACAGAATTCAAGTGTGCAAAACCAGCACTTTTCTCCTTACCTCAATGAGAACACATTTCTAAGAAACTCACAAAATGGTCAAGAAGTAGCACAATTCAAAATTCAATGGTCCTACTATGAATTTCTTAAAAGTGAGGAAGGAAGAGAAAATCAAGCATATTCTGTGACTACATAGAATTCCAGCCCTCTAACCCCAGCCTTTAACTTGGCCTTGTATCAAACTAGAAGGAAGGCACATGCTGGATAGCCTTTTAAATGAAAAAAGACAGAACAATATTTTCAGACAAAACACATGCATTCCTGAACCATGCCTTGCATCTCTTCTGCTAAGATTGCTCTCAATTACTCCAGCGGTCATAAAAGCTGCCAATACATGATTTCAACACGCATTTTTTTTTTTTTCTTTTAAAAAACTAAAAAGGATGGACAGTAGTACTATTACCTAGTGAGTTAATATATTCTTTTCGCATCCTTCTACTCATATATCTCTGGTTTGATTCCTGGCTGAGAATAGTTAATTACTTCAACTTGCCAGGTAATCATTTTAATTCCTAAAGATTATAGCCACAGCTATTTATTTTATAGCCTTCATTAAAGTAACTTGACAAGTGAAAGGGATGCAAACTGTCTGAGACCTGTGTGCAAATCATGCTATTGTTTATACTGACACCTCCCAGCAGTCCCTGAGCCTGTCTTCATTTGTGCATTTGTTTCTTGTGACAAATACAATCATGGCTGGGCAATACCTGTCTCGCAAAGTAATGAGCAAAACAGAAGAACCGTGAGGTTAGCTTTGTGCTAGGACACTGCATTAATGCCCAGTGAGACAGCCCATTAATTGAATTTCCATACACACTGTGCTTATCCTATGGCAAAATATCATCCCATGGGCACAGAACACTCTGATTTGGTATCACAGCTTTTGGCAGACCATGATAATAAACTCAGGATACACTTGGGACTGCAGCTACCTTGACAGCAAAGCTTAAGAGAGGAGAGAAAAATTTTAGAAAAGGTGGAATTCAGAAGTCTAGTACAATATTTAATTTACCCCACCCACTCCACCCCCCATTTAACAGGTTATCGCAAGTATTCTAATCGGGTCTATCTGCTCAGTAGTGATCCCAAGTGTTAAATAAAGCTAGATTTTTAAACCCCTCGATTTGAGAGTCAAAACAGAGAATGAAAACAGAGCCTTCCTTCAGAGAGCTGGCCAGAGTTGGTCCTTGGTTTACTGGAAAATATATCTGGGGGAAACAAAGGAGTGCAGACACAGTCTAGGTAACTGTTGAGTTCCTGTCACTCAGTGTGTCTGAGCTTTTCTGTCTTGCATGCATTTTAGCTTCTGTCACGTATGATGCTACTATTGCCTTTACTACAGAAGATGAGTCATGAGGACACACAGTACATTAAATGGCTGCCACAGGTGGTGTCTGTGACTGAGCTAGAAACTTAAGCCAGACCTCTCAAATTCTGCATGGTATCCTGTACGGTTCAGCATCATGCTTCAGCACAATACTTTTTGGGTGGTCATGCCATCTGGGCACTGGAAGAATCAGTATCACAGTTTGCAGAGTGCTTCCGAGGCTTTTACTTGTATGCAATGACTCCAACAAAGACTTTAGAACTCTTAATTGTGGATGCTGACCAATGCAACCACCTTGATAGCTTCCTGGGCTAATATCCTTGAAAAGAAGAATGCAAGCATTGTGAAGAACCCAAGACAGGTACTAACCAAGATAGGCTATGTGTCCCACTAGCAAATGCACTTAAAGCATTTACCCTCCTGATGTCAGCTGCAGTGCAGTGGAATCTGCTATGTGTCTTACAAAGCACCACTGAAATTCTGCTAAAATATGGGAGAATGGGCAGAGAAAATACTATAATAAATCCTTCGAACAAGTTGGATTGATTTGATCATACAACAGCTGCACTACAACTGCCCAGAAAGCACAAGTTTCTGGCATAGCCATTGTGAATTCTTGCCAGCACAAGATAGCTAGGTATCTTCAGCGTTATCTTGGCTATCAGCTCTAAAAAGATTCCTCCGGCCAGCCAGAATCCATAGAAAACTCATTTCCATGCTGCCAATCATCCAGCAACTTCAACTGCTTTAGAGAGAAAACTCAAATTTAATCAAAAATCTATTTATCTTTCTCCAGAGTCATGAATATTTCTTTGGGTTTTATCAATAATTATTCAATATACGTGTGTCAAGAGCAACATTCTCTGCCTCTTTCCCTAGGCCACCTCCTCATCTCTGTGCAGCAAAAGCCACAATCTGCCCTTGATAACAAGTGTATCGCTCAGCAAGATCAAGAAGCAGCTGCTGCCTGCGGGTACTGCTGCTGCAAAAGCATCGAAGTTGGCAGTGTTTATTTCAAGGGTGATGTGGAGTTTCCCAGGCTAGTCTGCCTGGGGCAGGAAGGGCTCTCTGAATGGTCATTCGCAGCTATGACTCTAGGACACAGTAACCTTAAGGATCTTGAAGGACCTTAGCAAAGCATCTATGTGGGATTTCAACCAGAGGAAATGAGCCAGAGTGCAATGGTGAAACCCAGGACAGCCCTGGACAGATAAGTCAGGCATTCAGAAAAAAATGTATATATTCTTGATGTATCTATCCTGAATGTCATCTGAGCAACTAGAAAAGTAGTTCTGGATCTGTGCACATCAAAACACAGTAGCACAGCTACAGTAGATCTGAAACAACCAGGGCCATATCTTCAGTGCAGATGTGATGTGCCTGTGACCTACAGGCCTGCCTCATTACGTAGGTGCACTGTGCACACACAAATCAACTGCCCATATATAGTTTATCTGGGAATATACAGTAACTGCTTTTCCAGAGAGAAGCAATTGGTTGATCAAGAAGCATACGGAAAGCTGTGCAATCCTGCTCCACAGTGTGACAAGTCACGTGTTATACTGCCTGATGGGTTCCCAGGTCCCATCAAAGATGAGACCCATGTCTTAAGATGGCACTACCTGGGGAAGAAGAAAAGCTTTTTTTGAGTGCCATTCTTTAGGTCTCACAGCTGGAGGGAGAGTTTCTGTAGAGAGGGAGTAACAAGAAGTCTCCTTCCCTCTGTTTGTCTTATGCATGAAGTTACCTTGACACAGGAGGTTGTACAGGTGCACCAAATTCCTTCCATGTCTAGCTGGTTTTGCTGTTTCTTGGATGCTAGGGCATTCCTTCAACCCCTGTTAATCACCATCTCTAAGCTGGCTTTCAGAGACAGAAGCTATCCACTAGTGCAAAAGGCCACCTGTGCTTTCCCCCCATGCTGGGTAGCAAACGGCTGAGATAAAGGGGAACACCAGAGGAGTAGTAAAATAGATAAAGGAGAAGGACATGTTAGGGCATCCTGAGCAGAGAAAGCGACAGCCACAGATCACACAGAAAAGTAAGAAGGGGGAGACTGAAGAAATGGTTCCAGTAGCAGTAGGTAAGGCTGCAATTAAGGTAGTAGTTGCAGTTAAAGCTGAGTGCTATTTTGCCGTTAAAGTTTCAACTCAGTCATTTAGCTTTATATGAGAAAACTCGGCATCTAGCCCTCAGCTAGATCTTACAGCTGTTTACTCCTTGAGTGCAAATATGGTTTTGGGGAATCTGCAAATCAGTTCATTAATTAATATATCAGTTCAAATTATTAAGACTTGGAACCTTTTAGAGATCTGACTTTAAAAAATGAAACAGACCCTTATATTAAAAGGGCATAAAATTGCAAAGTTCAGTATTCCAAAGTTAAGAACGGCTAAGTCAGTGTGGGGTGGTGAATGTATTGCTGTCCCCAACACCTCTGTTTGACTTGCGGGAAGTCTGTAGCAATGTGAGGGAAGGTTAGTGCCACAAAGGACAAGCTTTTGATAGAGGCAGCTGATTGACATACTGGAGAATCAAACTCTCTCTCTGCCCCTGCCATAGAATCTTTCTGTGAAAGAAAATGAACAGGTGCCTTAAACTGAGATGTTCACAGGTAATTATGAGTTGCAGGTCCCCCAGTTTTCAAAATCACAGTGCGACACATCTGAAGTTTGATTTACAGTGTTTATAAGCACACGGAGCAGCAGCTGCAGTCGGCAGGCACTCTGCTGTACAAGTTAAGGACTGTTATCAAGCACTGACTATTCTGAGATATTAGGCCCCAGAGTATCCAACTACACACTCAAAACCGGTTGGTAATTTTGAGTTGCGTTTTGCAGAATCACATGTCCTCGTATAAATGGAAATAACCAAATCAATGTGGCAAATATAATATGAAAACAGTATAATTAATGTTTGTAAACCTAAGATAATATGATAAAAATCCTATCTAGCATTCATAGCAAGGTTTGAATGCGGTGAGCAGAAATTATGAATGGGTCCATAAAATGAAAGCTATGGAAAAATCAAACATTAAATAGCTGTTTATTAAAAACACCCCACAGCATCCAAACATCAAACGAGGCAAAGATTTATTGGAAAAAAACTGTACAAACTTGTAGTTAATGGCCATATCCTAATGTGCATGGGCTAAGTCAATGCTATACTGGCAACGTGAAGAATACCACATCTTAAATTCTCAGTGCTTCATTTTGCAGACTTAAAGCTCTTTAACATACCTTAGGATGTACTATAGGTGAGGCTGGTATTAATGGTTATTAATAAGGTTGTCTGGTATTTCCCTTTATAATCCTCATTTTAAATTGCTTATGACTTACCATCAATTTAACAACTTAACAACAGTTTTCCTTGCTTTTTGTCTGCCTCAGACTGGTTTTATGTTTGTGTGTGTATGCATCTTGTGAACAGGCCAATATATTTCCGCTATATAAATCTAATCTGAATTAAATGTTTTTTCCCATAAAAAAAGAAAATTTCTACTATCCTCAACTGCAAAGGGAAAACCTGACATA